CTCAGATTCCCTGCTAGCTCTTTCTTTTTCTTGTTTGTTTGTTTTGTTAACTCTCACCTGAGGATATTTTTCCATTGATTTTTTTTTTAGACAGAATGGAGGGGGAAAGAGAGAGGGAGAGAGAGAAACATCGATGTGAGAGAGACACATCAACTGGTTGCCTCCTCCATGACCCTGAATGGGGCTGGGGATCAAACGTGCAACCCAGGTAAATGCCCTCGACTGAGAACTGAACCCACAACCCTTTGATGCAAGGGCCAGGGCTCTGCCAGCTCTTTCTCTCCTCTACCTGTGTGTCACTCTGAAGCCAAAATGACCTTCCTAAAGTGCGGATCTAACCAGGTGGGTTGCTTCTCAGTGCAAAACTCCCCTGTACCTTCATCTTGGGTTAAGGGAACGAAATGAGTAGAAGCCGCTGGGGAAGAAGACAAAACACTGAGCAGTGTCAAGGATGGGATGTTCTGCAGCATCCAACTTGACCCAGAGGCTATGTGACCTTAACATCTTTCTGAAAAGGGCCCACAGGACTTTGTGATAGGATGGGGTTGGGGTGAGCAGTCTCAGCAATGTGCTGGCTTGGGAGCCAGATGCCTCAGGCAGGGGAGTGGAGGGATCCTCACCCCCATCTGGCAGATAGGAAAACAGACTCAGAGAGGGAAAGTGATTAGCCCAAGGTCATACAGCATGTAAGTGTTAGAGCCAGGACAGGAGCCTGAGAGCAGGGTGAGGGCCAGACCCAGGGCGTTTATTTCTCATTTCTAATTTCCAGCAGCATACAAACCTTAACAGTCCGGGGTGGCTGGACAGGCCTGAACTGTGGGAGCTCACTAGCTCAGCTCCCCTGCAGCTGGAGAAGCAGCAGTTACAACCAGTCCAGTTCCACCAGCCAAGCCACACATGCCTGTCACCAGCAGGACAGCTGGGTGGGCAGCAGAGGCTGAGGCAAAACACTCAAGAAAGCTGGCTTGAGGAACAAACATCAGGTCGTTTTTCCATTCATTCATGAGTTAATTCCACTAGAGGCATTAGGTACTAATCATTCGGTTCAACACAGAGGTGAAGCAGACAGGGATGGTCCTCCCTTCGTGTAACTCACGTCCTAGCGAGAGACAAGACGTCAAACAGGAAGGCAAGGGAAACCCTCCTCGCCAGTGTCAGGTCTGAACACAGCCCAGGATTAGCACAGGCGAAAATAGCTGAGGAAGTGACAAGGACTGGAGCTTGGAGTCAGCCTGCCTGGGTTAGGACCCCGGCAGAATTCCTCCCTGTGTAAACCCAGGTCTATAAAAGTGAACAATGGGAGGACTACAGGAGACAAGATGCTGGAAGGGTGCAGAAGACACGAAGTCGATTATTATTGGTTAAATGTAAAAGTAGGAGACTGTGAAATCAGAAGGCGGCCTGCTTGCTGAGGGTCTTGGAGGGCCTGGGGCTGCGGGCTCGGGAGGAAAGAATGAAGAGGACCTTCCCAGGCCCTACCCTTATGAAAGTGACAGTGAGCAGGCACATGGACATGCTGTGTGACAGTGTTCTTGTGACCCCCATTCCAAATGCCTCCTCAAGATGTCTGCACCTTCCCTGGGGCTTGTGGTCCCACCGCCACACCTGACCCTGACTGCTCCCCCGCTAGTTCTCCACACCCCTCACCTCCCTTCCCACAGTCATCCCCTCCCTCAGCTCCTGCTAAGTCCCACGTGGAACTTGGCCCCTCTTCTCTGCTCACCACAGAAGCTAAGCTGCACACATTCTTGGGACACACAGCCGACCTTCCAGAATGTTTATGGAGGTGGGAGGGGGTTACGTCACAGCCACACAAACCAGTGGAGCTTGACTATTCGACTCCCCATTTCCACCAGCTCTGCCACCAGTCACCATATGGCTCACCCTGTCCCCAGGCCTCCTCACCAGCAATTCCCCTCCTGCTTTATTGGAACTAGTGGCTCCCTCCGGCCTTGGGCTAACTGACTCCAGACCGCCATCGCGGGCGAGAAGCCTCAGCTGTGCCGCTCAGGGCTCACCTCCACCCACGAAGATGTCCTTCTCCACTGAGGAGACAGCTGTGGCTCACTGCTCCTCCCAGGAAAAGCAGCTACCTCACGCTTGGGTGTCGATGAACAGTTACGGACTTGCTCCGACCCACGCGCGTGGTGGTCAGCCCAGAGGCTGCAGGCACATGGGAGGGGCAGTGAATGGAGTCTGGAGTTTGGGGACTTTCTTGAGGGAGGACACATTTCTGCAGCAAGATGCAGCAGGGAGAGGAGTCGGAGAAGGGTAGCCTGGGGGTGCGTGGAGGCACGGGGGTCACCCTGCCCTCAGTGAGGGGCTTTCAGTGCCCCCCCCACCCCCCATGCAGAGCTGGAGCTCTCTGTATTAGGATCCTCTGGGTTGTACGTAATGGTAACTCAAGCCAAACAGGCAAAAAGTAAGGGCGATTTTGTGGCTCCTGGGTTGGGGTGACCCGGGATCTAGGGTATCAAATGATGTCACCCGGACTCAGGGTTTTTCTGCCTCTCCATTCCAGCTCTCTTACGCTGGCCGCTGGCTTTATCCTCAGGCAGAGTCTCCTTGTAGGGTCATGGCAATAGCTCCCAGCTTCTGGTCTCCCCGGCCTCCCCGAGTAACACTCTGCGAATTCAACAAAAATCCTAGCATGGAATCTCCCAGGTCTGGCTTGGGTGGTGTTAAAGGTAAACTGGGGCATATTAAAATGTTTGAGGTTTTTTTTGAGCAAAAATCCACTCAAATCATGCAGCCTCCAGTGTAGCAGATAGAAAGGAGCTTGATGGGCTTTGCAGAATGAAAGACTTTTATAGGCGGAAGGAACAGGAATGAGAAAGTCATTGTACTCTGCAAAAAAGTGAGTGGCTATCGCCAGGTCACGTTCCTTACAGGGACGGCAGGCGTTTATCAGGCAGGTGACCTCCCGAGGGCTGAGCCAGTGATTTCTGGTGGACTGCTTTAAGGTTCCGTTTCTGGGAGAGGAGAAACTAGAGTTAAGTCTCGGTTTGGTGATGTGGGGCCCAGCCTGAGCAACTCCACTTTGAGCCTGTTGTCGTGTTTTAAACAGTCCCACGCCCATTCTGGAATCACCTGCTGGGCCAGAGGGTGTGGTTCTCTGCTTGGCCAAGCTGCGGTCCACAGGCTGACCCTGGGGTTGGGGAAAGGGGAGTGGGGTGTCAGTCCAGTTGTGCCAGAAGATGAAAGGATGCTGGGAAGTTAGAAACAATGGTACACTGATTTTTAGAGATTAAGAAAACATATCTTAGAGAAGGGCAGGGATTTGCCAAGGTCATCAGCAAACTCACCAGAACCGGGACAGAACTCAGACTGGAGAGAGGTTCTCCTCGCTGGCTCGATGCACTAAGCTGCCATTTCAAAGCCGCCCCTGTGGCAGGGAACTGTGCGTGGCCTCTGGGATTTGCAGGTGGCTTCTGGCCGACAGACAACAAAACCTGGGGCCCCGGGTCAGCAGGGGTCAGGCCTCGGAGCCCACGACAGGCCCTGCATCTGGGAAGGCCTTCAGGACGCTGGAGGGGAAGAGATGGTGCCAGGAGCTGCCCTGCCGCCTGGTCACCCTGACCACTGCCGTGCTCCGGGCTCGTTACTTCGCTTCCACCTGCAGTTGTTTCTCCCCCCTTTCCTCCTGTGTACCCTAGTCCTTCCTTCCCAGAGATGTGAACTCTCCCTCACCTTGCTGAAGAGACTTCTGGCCTCGACCTCTCCCTTGAGATCTCCTTGGCCCAGCCACCTGAAGAGTGAGGGGCCCTCCTCTTTCTTGCTCTTCTATAATCGGCTGAATTCGTCCCAGCGGCAACCAGGTTTCCTCACATTCCAACCTAAGCTGCTCCCCAGGGCTTCCTTACCTCCCGAGAAAGACCAGAACTCTTTCGGGAAAGAGACTTGACACTTGGCCCTGAAAGTATTAATTCAAACAAGTAAATTGGATCTGTCTCCTCTGCATCTCTCCCCAGAGTCGAGTTAGATGAGGTTGCTGCTGTAATCACATAGCAGTTGGGAGACGGGCGGACAGAAAGCAACGCGGGAGCGTACAAGGTCAAGCAAAGCAGTGGTGCGGACCATGCTGACTGATGGTCTACGGGGCAGTGAGTCAGAGTTCCTGCTCCTCCCCCAGCCCCACAGCCAACATGTGACCTGTCCCAATCTGCAGAGCAAGGGGAGGCTATGGCAGGTCACTTGGTGTGGGAGGAAGCAGGGATGCTTCTGAGCCATGACTCAGTCTCTGCCCACTGAAACAGCTAGAAACCAGACACGGCAAATTTCAGTGCACAGTGTTCCTTGTGATAAAGGAGACAGACGGGTGACTGCACAGCTGGTCAGGTCCTAGATCACATCTCCTCTGCATGGACAGGTCTGCCTTCTAACCTACCTTCTCCAGACCAGATGGGAAATGCACCAAGAGAAATGCGATGCCACGTTTCGGACTCTCAACTAGACCTACAAAACCTCCCTGCCCTGCTCTGCAGGGGCATGGTGGCAGCTCAAGTTTTTCTGCAAAGATTGGCTACCATGAGAGATGTTTTGAAAGGACTGTCAAAGGTTTTCAAGAGCTTTTTAAAAATTGCACTTTATCATGAGGCAATTTACCCAAACATTCAAGCCTCTCTAGGTCTTTTCAGATTTGTACAAGGGTGTGAGTAGCAATGGTGGTCTCAGGGGAAGAGCTTCATAATGGAATCTATGAGAGGTGTTTTCTAAGTGGGCTTATTCAAAGAGCATGCCTGGCAGGGACTGAGACCAAGGCAGCCTGCAGAATGGATTTCTCTCACAGGGAGACTGCCTGGGAACCGCATAGCCAGAGCGTTCTGTGTTATTGTATCTCCCCACACGAGTATAATCTGGAACTAGGCTGGAAACCTCAGAGGGTCCTGGCTGCAAAGGGACCATACCAGTCACCTGCCAGGGCTGGATGACAAATTAAAAGGGCCTCCAAAATGTCAGACGAATTTGTGCTCCACTTCAGATTTTCAGAAAGGGTGAGAAGCAGGGGGAACCCAAAATGAAAAGATGACAAAACTGGACAGGTTTATGATCCCTCCCCTCAAACAAACACTCACGTGGAAAACTCAAAGTAGATGCTTGCTTGTAAAGTTTATTGACAACTGTTTGGTCCCAACACACAAAACAGCACTTGAACCACAGAAAGTGTTCAAACAAAGTAGACAGTTAAGAAAAACATCTCTCCCCCAAGCCCAATCCAAAACAAGCAGTGCAAGATGGGGAAGGGGGTTTTGGTGATAACTTTTGTCTTTTTTAAAAGATAAATCTAATCCAGTACATTTTTTCCACCCAGAAATAAAGAATTTCACTGTCTTAATTCTCATACATCATTTTGTCACATCATTTCATTAAGTAAGCCTCTGGATAAAAAAATAGACAGCAATTGGACTGGCCATCGTGGAGTACATTATGAACACAATGAACTTCTGCTGTATTTTCCCATCTTCAAACAGCGACTGTTAGTCACACACGCATCCCGGGCTGACTGGCAACTCCAGCGAATGGTGCGACCACACTTACATGACAGCACACATCAGTCTCTTCTTTGTTGCCCAAAGAAGATGCTTTTTGTGACTATGCCTTGTGACTTGTAATAGTACCTCTTATGTTTTTAAAGTCCACAGTTCTTTACATGAGAGCAAAACTAAAGTCCAAGTGTGCAAACTCAGCCTTATGAAATCTCAGAATAAGGCAACTGATGTTCTCAACACTAACTATCCCATTGTTTAAAAGCTTCTTTTAAAACACTGCACGTTTGCACTGTGCTTCCCGTCCCACTGCTTGGGTGGAGGAAAGGCCTGCAGAGGACCGCAGATGCCATCAGCTCAGAAGGCTTTTCCAGTGTGGTTCCGTTTGACTGGGGCTCCTTCTTGAGAACTGGGAATCACTGGCTTCATAGAAAAGATTTGGGGAACAAACATCTATCTTGTAAAAATCTCTCTATAGCCCTTATTTTGTGGCATTTTATCAAAATGCTGGCTATAAAATCAGAGCCCATTTTCTGGCTTTCCAGAAATTACAAAATATAAACATTTCCCCAAAGAAACCATCTAACTAGTGGAAGACCTTTGGTCAACAGGTTCTTTCTGCTCTGTGAATGAATCTGCCTTTTGCCCAACAAATACAACCCATTGTAAATGTCAGGTTTCTCCAGGAGGGGTGTGAGGCCACCTGTCACCGGATGCCCGGCCACCTCAGAGCAAAGTTCATTCAACAGGGCAGTGCTCCCTCAAAGGCTGGCTTTTCCCAAATACCAACATCAGATACCACAAAAGAACCTGAACATGCTTCCAAAAGTGAGAAGTAACTGAGTTAAAGTAGACACTATTAAGACACATAAATACAGACACATAAAGCTTCCCGACTACCACAACCAGATTTAAAATGACAAAAAACCAAGTTCAGTTGATCAGCCTTGGCCTTCATGCGTTTAGACAGAATCTCCGTGTGTTCCTACTGGAAAGAGTATCCACGCCGCCCCAGATAAAGCACCTCACCCCTCAGCTCTGATCTGTAACTTATGCGCTGCATATTTGAGAAAATCAGACACTCTTCCCAACACTGCCTCTTGACACACAATAATGTGTGGACTTCAAATGCTGACTTTAAATTCACGCCACCAAGACCATCTCCGTTTTCTTTGCCTAGTGCATGTCGAACTGGAACTTAACATAAAAGGGAAGCCTAAATCACCCTCAACTTTCTAGAAGCTCCTAAATGGAGCCCCAAGGTGGAAACATTTAAAAAAATTTTGTGATGAAGCCACATTTGTCAACTACAGACATAGTTAAATAAAAAACAAGGCACTCTTACAAGTCACATGGAAGCCAGGAACCTTCACATCCAACCTGAAAATACATTCTTACCTCCCAGCCCACCCTTCTTCAGTGTGTGAACACGCAGGGCCACTGAACAGGCTTTGCTTCAAGACACATCATGCATATGAGTAATACGGTCTGAAAAGGTCAGTAAGCAAAGGCTTAGTTAGAGACTATATAATGCTACATGGAGGGTTATACCACTGAAGGGGCTTAATGGAAGTAAAACTACTTCCTTCTAGCCGAGCTCTTACTGCTTTCTTCTTATGGAACACCATCACATTTCATAATAATTAAGAAAAAAATTGATAAAATATATTAAGATTTCTTTAACAAATTCCAGAAGGTTTTTGTTTGTTTCTCAAATAATTGGGGGGTGGAGGGGGAAAAGGAAAACTTCAGTCCAAGCTGAGCTCAGTGTAAAAGAAACAAAATATTATGGAATACATCTAAAGACGGGGGTGGTGGCTTCCAGGGGGTTTCGTTAAAACAGCAAAGGCTGAGTTTTCTGAACCCACGTTTGTGTGCAGAATCAGACAGTGTTTTCCCATCCCAGTCCTATGATCACAATGAGTCAGAGCTTGGTTACAGGTGCAAAGGAAAAGTTGGGTGCCAATTTTACTCTATTTTTGGGTTGCTTTTTGGCTGGGCTTTCCACAGGGCCCTTGCTGGGCTGCGACTCTGGGGTTTCCGAGGGGGGGCAGGGAGGCGCCGGGACAGCGGCTGAGAGGCAAGGGGCGCTGGAGTCAGAGGTCAGCTTTTTGTTATTTACTGGTACTGGAATTTCAATGTTCTCTTCTTGGTTTAAAATCGTAATTTCTGTAAACACAAAAAAGCAAACAGATTCAGTCCTAGGACCTGTAAGAGGTGTTGATTTTCAGTTTCTCTCGCATATTTTCACAAAAAATATTTTTAAAGTATCCCCTCTTGCCCTGGCCGGTTTTCTTAGTGGTTAGAGTCAGCCTGCAAACCAGTGACTCTTGGGTCTGATTCCGGTCAAGGGCACGTACCTCGGTTGCGGTTCAGTCCCTGGCCCTGGTCGGGGTCGGGCGGGAGGCAGCCAGTCAATGTGTTCCTCTCTCTCCCTCTCTCCCACTCTATCTGAAGATAAACAGAAAATATCCTTGGATGAGGAGTTATTAAAAAAACAAAACAAAAAAAAACCCCAAATGTCACATCCATGCCACCATTTACACATTAGCTATGTGGCCAATATTATGTGTCACAGTCAAATATTTACTACTGCATCTCAGCTCTCCCCTGGATTACAAAGTTTTAGAGATCTTCACTTTTGGCACAAGTCAATGATTTAAAAACATTTTCTTTTCTTTGGATTCTCTGCCCATTCACTCTCTCTGTCAGGTAGTTAAAGACCCATAAGCCACACTCGACTTAAAGATTTCCAGACCAGGAGGGGCCCCCTGGCCCACTGCACTGACAGAGGGCCTTACTCTGTGGGTCGAAGGTTGGGGGGTAAGGGGAGCGTGACACAGTCAAAATTGCCCTAGAAAATCCAGGAAGTCAAATCCAGCCAGTGCTCCTGCAATCCTACAGGTTGCCCCTTCTCTGGCCAAGCCAAGGATACTGACCTGCTGCACACCCAGAGCCCTGCTGCCTGGAAGATCCCCACTGTGTGCAAGGGGCTCCCACACCACAGGCACAGAGGGGGAGGGGGGCGGAGGGGACGGCACGGCCCAGCTCCCTCCTCAGGCTGACACTCACTGAGGAGAAGGGCAGACAGGGCGGACCGCACCACATTCAAATAATTATTCCCTCTGGTCACATGTGGAGGGCTGATGCACACTAACGCACTGAGGCTGCAACCCCACGAAGAGCCAGTCTCAATCTCCCAGCAACTCTAGTGTGCTTTCCAGGGGAACACAGCCCTGCCTTTCCCACAGGCCAGATTTAGTGTCAGAAGCTGGCGGTATGGTCCCCCATCTCCTATTTTTCAGATAAACAGCCTAAGTTCTTTCACTGGGCAACAGTGCTGAATGCTGCCTGAGAAGACGACGGGCTGGAGATCACCGGGCAGTCAGAAGGCTGCCTCTGCGGTCCCCTTGGAAAGCAGCCTTGGCGGGGTGGGGAGACTGTGCACAAAGGGGCTCCTCGTCACAGCGGGTGGGCCATCCTCTCTCAAGTCAGGTGTCACAGCAGAAAGACAGGGGGCCTTGGGTTCAAATCCTAACTCTGCCACTTCCTATTCAGGCAGCCTGGAGCCACATTCAGCTCTAGTCACAACATAAGCTCTGCCTGTCCCCTGACCTGCAGAGCTGAGGGGAGAACTACATGTGACTGAGTCTGTCCGCCCAGCAGTGTCGGCCACGCAGGGAGAGGTGGACAGCACAGGCAAGTGTCAGGGCTCAACCCCGTCAGCTTCCTCTTCCTTCTCAGACCACTGAGCAGGCCTGCTGTGGAGACAGATGCCCCACCCCACCCTCTGGCAGCCTCTGGAGTCGTTCCGGAGACTGCAAGAGGGGACGTGCATGCCTAGTGACAAGTGTGCCTCCTTTGTAGCCCAGCTGCGTCACCCTCAAGACTCACTATGATTCCCCTGCTTGCTCCCCAAACTACCTCAGGCTCTGAACCCAATTTTGGAGGAACCCTGACAGGAAAAAAGGGTACTGAATAATCATGTGCCTGAAAAGATATAATTTCCCCCCACCTCCATCAAACAGTATACTGGCATGAAATTTTTATTATTATTATTACTTTTTTGTTAATCCTCACCTGAGGACATTTTTCTATTTTTTGTTCAGATAGAGTGGGAGGGAGAGAGAGAGAGAGAAACATCGATGTCAAAGGGACACATCGAGTGTCTGCCTCCTGCACAACCCCAACCAGGGCCAGAGACAAACTGCAACCAAGGCATGTGCCCTTAGCGGGAACCAAACCCAGGTTTCTATGGATCACAGGCCAATGCTCTAACTGCTGAGCCAAACCGGCCAGGGCTCCATTGATTTTTAAAGTGAGTGGAAGGGAGGGAGAAAGGAGGAATGAGGGGGAGGGGACGAGGAGAGAGAGAGAGAGAGAAACATGGATGTGCAAAAGACACACTGATTGGCTGCTTTCTGTATGCTCCCCAAATGGGGCCGGGGATCGAACCTGCAACCCAGGTACATACCCTTGACTGGGAATCGAACCCTTCAGTGTGCAAGTCGAAACTCGAACCACTAAGCAACACTGGCCAGGGAATGACTTTACATTTTAAGCTCACAGAGAAAAGCCCACAATACAGTATACCCTACCAGAAGGTTCTTGAGGGTGTTCCTCAAATTGAATGAGATCAGCAGACTGAAGGATGACAGGGTCTGGCCGCAGCTGAGGGGATGGCAGGCAGGAAGGGACGGGCGCACACAGGAGGTCCACGGGGGAGTTGCTGGTCAGGCGGAGAAGCTCCTGGTCCGTTTGACAGGGCCCTGGACAGAGAAGGCAGGCTATGGCTCTACTCAGGACAGCTCTAGGCAAGTCTGTGCCCCAGGCTTTCTTTCCAAGTCTTAAACATAAAAAAAACTCAGGAATGCCCGGCCAGTGTGGCTCAGTGGAGAGCAAACTGAGAGGTCAACGGTTCAATTCCTGGTCAGGGCACATGCCCAGGTTGTGGGCCCAATCCCCAGTGGGGGCATGCAGGAGGCAGCCAATCAATGTTCTCTCATCGATGTTTCTCTCTCTCTCTCTCTCTCTAATATCAATAAAGAAAATAATTTAAAAAAAAATGTCATGAAGTACTCAAGAACTCAAGGTTAAAAAAAAAAGCCACTAACAGAAAGATCTGGATTTCTCTTTGGCAAGTGAAAAACCACAAGCCAGAATCTCCCCCAAGGCCACATCGGAGAAAAGGGGTTCCACAGTCAGCTTCCAAAGGAGGAGAATAAAAAACCCTTAGAAGGTGTATCAAGAAGTTAAAGGACCAAAACTCAGCATTATGAGACTTGGGTCCAAGTTCTGTCACTTCCTAGCTGAGTGATCTTGGGTAAGCTACTTAACCTTGGGGAGCTTTAGTCCCTCATTTTCCAGTGTGGTAACTACTGCTGAGGGTGTTGTGACAGCTGAGAGAGAGGAGTTACATGTAGGTGCTTTATCAAATGTAAAACACTGCATAACTGAGTCATAAACACAGAGCACAGTAACACTATCTAGTAACTTTCAGAGTACAATGAAAATAAAATTCTCATACACAGTAATGGATTCAAAAGTCTTTACATACATTTAAAATTGCTATAGAATTCAAGCAAGCTGATTTCTACCTACAGAGGTGGTTCCGCATAAAATCTAAGTGACTCAATGTTGTTCTAAGTAACATTAGCGAATTGCTATCAACTCTTTCCCACGAAAGTCTGAGAAAAAGACTCTCTTTGACCAACTTTAGGCTGCTCTTAGCCCTCTTCTCCACTGGATCTTGACCTTGGCCTTCCATGTCTGTTCTGTCTTTGCTGAGTCTCAGCAAGAATCCTGGAAAGTCAGTTTATCAAGAATCCCCCAGCCATGCTATCTGATCAAGTTCCTCAACCCCCCTACCCTCACCCACCCACCACCTCGATACCTAAGTCCCTGGCCTGCCTTTAGTAAGAATTCTCTTAGGTCAGTTCAGTTAGAATCCCTCCACTCCTGATGTTTCCTGTTGGCATTTTCCATCCACCGATGTCCTCACTCTGCTCCTTGACTATAACTCCCCCTTGTCCTTGTTGCATTCAGAGTTGAGCTTGCTCTCTCTCCCAGTGCATTAGAGTTGACACTTGGAATAGTTGTGAAATACTGTTTTAACAAGAGTGTCAGAATACTTTCCTTTAATATCTGAATTGGGCCCTGGTAAGTTTGCTCAGTGGTTAGAGTGTTGGCCCACAGATTAATGAGTTGCAAGTTCGATTCCAGTCAAGGTCATGTATCTCGGTTGCGGTTCGCCCCTGGTTCTGGTTGGGTCTTGCGGAGGCAACCTGTCAATGTGGCTCTATCGCATCCATGCTTTTCTCTGTCTCTCTTTCCCTCCCTCCCTCTTTGTCTGATAATACATAGAAAAATATCCTCCGGTGAGGAATAAAAAAATATATATCTCAATTGGGTTGACATATTGTCATTTGGCAGGAGGGTGCCAAGATCCCTTAAGAACCTCAACCAGTCAACCATAAAATGCTATCAAATGTAGGCCAGTTTTTTTTCCCTGTTATTAACCAAATTCTTTGAAAAAATGTATGAATACTTAACTTTAATTAACAAAAATGACTCACTGACGTCTCTCCTACTCCCACCTCCCCACTCTGAGCCATTTCTCCTAGAATTTCACCAGTTTTGCTTTGTCTTTCCTCTCTTACCTTCATCCTCTGCTCCAAGTTTGAGTTCCGAGGCTGTGCAAGATTTGGGCACATCGAGGATCCGCTCAGTAGCCAAGGGCCAGTTTGAACTCAAATGACCTAGAGAACAAAGAGCACCTGTCAGAGGGAGAAGTCAGCGAGACGACTGGGATTTCTGCAGGGGCAGAGGATGGGCGCTTACTTACTTTTCATGTCATTTTTTAACACTACAATTCTCTTATGACCATGTCCTTTTATCCAGACCACCTGCACACAAGACATACTAATGGTTAAGCAATGGAACAGGAGTGGAGATAAGCCCTAAAATTCAGGCAGGATGTGACCTGTGTCTGCCTTAAACATACTAGAATTTAGAACTGAATTAATGCCAACAAAAAATTTTCTAACTCTTTCTTTACTTCACTTTTTAAAGTGATAGAGGCTGGCAAAAACATGTCCCTTATAAAAAGCTGAGTAGTCTAAAAATTATGAGACTCAGCTTTAAAAATAGTCTTTATGGCTTCTAAAAACACCATCATCCAAACACCAGTTCTAATCTATAAACAAAGATAGTTCTCACATGACAGCCATTATTATTTTTTCCAGAAAATAAACACACCCAAAAGAATTAATGGAGCCTGGCCGGTGTGGCTCAGTGGATTGAGTGTCGTCCCATAGACTGAGAGGTCCCGCTTTGATTCCCGGTCAGGAACATGCCCAGGCTGCAGGCTCGATCCCAGTAGGGGGCGTGTAGGAGGCAGCCGATCGATGTGTTTCTCTCTCTCTCCCTTCCTTTCTCTCTAAAAAAAATCAATAAAAACATATTTTTAAAAAAGAAAAAAGAATTAATGGAGATCTCCTACCCCCCTCAAACTAAGTTCATTACCTTAATCCTAAAACACAGTCCTCTTCCTAATGATGCCGCTCTCTGCCTCCGCTGAGCCCTGAGCTCCCAGCGCTCACCCACAGGCATCGGCCACCAAGTCTCTGATCGCATCTCTCAGGTGTCCCTAACTACTTCCTCTGTTATTTTCACTAAGGCTCAATCCTTTCACAACTCTCGCTCTGACCTGGGGAATTGAGAGAGTCCTGGTCAAGCTCCCCCTTCCTGTCCTGTTTCTCTCAACTCTACTATGCACAGCAGAGACTGTGATGTTTTCACATGCGGACCTGAAGGTCCTTTCCTTGCTCCTCACTAATCCGGAGGAGCAGAGCCCCCACAACTGAGTTCCTACTTCATTGCTAGGCATCACTCACGCTGTCCCCTCTACCTAGACTGCCCTCTCTTCTCTTCACCACTTGGTCAACTCCTACACATCCTTGAGAACTTGGCTCTGCTACCCTCCATGCCTGCCCATGGCCCTCCTCAGTGTGTCTGCTGGTGGCTGCACAGACATGGACTCATCACCTGCTAGGGTGTCCTGACTTTCCAATACCTGACACCTTCCTGAGGGCAGGGTCTAGGATTTATTACCTCGCATATGGGAATTAATAAAGGCTTACAGAATGGAGAAATGCTAAAACCATTCACCTTATGCAAACCGTATGCTATGAAAGGATCTGTTCAAAACACCTGCCATTTCCACATTCTGTTCAGGAGAGTCAGCCTGTAGCTCTCCAGGAAGACTCTCCACAGAGCTCAGAAAACACCTACCTGTGGGATTGCTCCCAAGAGCTCCTCTACACTGCTGAAGCCGTAAGCCTTGGGCTGCACTGTTTCTCCGACATACTTGGTATAGGCCACGGAAAACTCATGAAGGAAAAGCTGCTGGTAGTGGTAAGTACGAAGTAAAGACCGCACATTCTTGGCAAACAAATACAGACTTGTGAGCTTCACACACTCCTCTGTCTTATCATTAGTAAAAACCTGGTCCAAGAGAAAAACAGCCATTAGACACTTTCAGAGTAACTGCCTCCTACCCCCAGAAGTGAGAGCCTCCAGCTGAGAGTGACAAGGTGCTGAGTCAACCTGAAAATGGACAGTAAGCCAAGGAGCAGGACAGATTTGTTCAAGGGTCTTCTCCCGGAGAAAGCTGAAGCCTTGAGCAAGCCTGAGTTCTATTTGCAAGTCTAAAAAGGCAGAGATCTAAAGAAACAGTGTGGCCCTGGCCAGTTTGGCTCAGCGGTTAGAGCATTGGCCTGCGGTCCAGAAAGACCCAGGTTCGGTTCCTGCTAAAGGCATGTACCTCGGTTGTAGTTTGTCCCTGGCTCTGGCTGGGTTGTGCGGGTGGCGACCACTCGATGTGTCCCTTTTACATCGATGTTTCTCTCTCTCTCTCTCTCCTTCCCACTCTATCTGAACAAAAAATGGAAACATGTCCTGGGGTGGGGGGGAGGGAGGGAGGGAGGGAGGGAGGGAGGGAGGGAGGGAAGGAAGGAAGGAAGGAAGGAAGGAAGGAAGGAAGGAAGGAAGGAAGGAAGGAAGGAAGGAAGAAAGGAAGAAAGAAACAGTATGTCAGAAAGGAAAAAAACTGGCAAACCTGGGGTCTCAAACAAAAAGATTGGCACGAAGGGTGGAAGGCAAGCAAACCCTTACGTAGAAACAGCTGCATCAGGCCTGGGGACGGGGGCCACTAAAGCTCATCTTCCAAAGTGTCCAAAGAACTCGGTGGTGCAGGATGATGACATTAGCATTTTTTTTTATCCTCACCTGAGGACATTTTTCCATTTTTTGTTCAGATAGAGTGGGAGGGAGAGAGAGAGACAAAAACACTGACGTGAAAGGAACACATCGAGTGGCTGACACCCGCACAACCCAACCAGGGCCGGGGACGACAAACTGCAACCAAGGTACGTGCCCTTAGCGGGAACCGAACCTGGGTCTCTCTGGACTGCAGGCCAATGCTCTAACTGCTGAGCCAAACTGGCCAGGGCAACACATTCGCATTCTTTTAAAAAAGAAACAACACAATCAACAACAAAAAATAGCCCAAAGCTCTTCTGTTCTCAAGTTTATTTAGCACAAACCTTTTTATGATCTTTAATCTGCACTGAGATTCTGCAAGAGAAGGGACACTTGCCAACCTTAGCTGGCCATGGAAAGCCTTTTATCTTGAATGTCCATTTACACTGCCCAGAACTAGTGTTCACAGATGATTAACAGAGTTCAGAAAATGGTGAATTTGATATTGTGAAAGAAAGCCAGAGCTGGATAGTCATTAAAGCGGTAGAAATGGTTTTTATTCAGGAACTACTGCAATAGGGGAAGAGAAATAACCTTTGTATAGAACTGGGCTCAATTCTGAATACAGTTGACCTTAGACAATACAGGTTTGAACTGGATGAGTCCACTCATACAAGGATTTTTTTTCAATGAATACCTATACTGTTTTTGATCTGTGGTTAGGAGTCCATGGATGCGGAGGGCTGACAGGATGCACTAATCTCTGACATTTTACAGAGGAGACAAACACTACGGATTTGGGTATCTGCAGGGGTGTGAGAATAATACCCTGTGGATACTGAGGGACAACTGAAATCTCTGGGGAGTCAAAAGTTATGTGCATATTTTCAACTGTGTGGAGGATGGCACCCCCTAATCTCCATGTTGTTCAAGGGTCAATTGTGTAACAAAGAAAAATGGGGATTTATAGTTAAGGAAGGAGGGGGGCTGTTGGTGGATGGAAAATACCAAAGACATCATTACTAACTGACAACCAAGGTTAAGGTCTAGTCTAGAAGGCTGCTCAGGGGAGCCTAAATGAAGTTTCACCAAGGAGAGATTTTCTGCCAATACCTTTCAGTTATTTAATTACGAATAACATGGTTATATGATAACAATGGAATATTATTTTTTCATACACTGCGGGATTTTTTTTGGTTAATATCCTATTTAAAATCACTTTCTTTTGGGTGACCATATTAGGCTTTTAGTATTCAAGTTATTGTGGCTTCATAAAATTAAGTGGCAAAGCTTTGCATCCTTTTTGCAAGTGGCCTAGAACACTTTTTAAGTAGTTGAAGTTGTTTGTTCTTTAAGGGTTAGCTAAAACCCAACTGTTAACCCATCTGGTCCTGGTGCCTTTTTCAGTGGCAAAATTTCAGTGATATTTAAAGTCTCTTTTGTAGTAACTGGTGTAATTTTAACTTTGAGTCAATTTTGATCATTTTTTCTAGGACCTTATCTATTTCGTAGTATCCTCTAACAATTCTTCTAATCTGGGAAGTGCCATTCTTGAAAGGCTACCTGGGTGACCAGCCAGCCAAAGTCCTTTCTGACCTATATCTGACTGATAAGTCACATGAAGCCACCATACAACCACTCCAATCCAGAGAGAGGTAACAGCAACAAAATCCAGCCTGGCGCGTCGCTCATTTGGGCAGGGTGCCTCCGTTTGTTCAACCATAATGACTCTTCCAGCTCTATGCCCTCTAATCTAGACCTCTGGGTAATCCAGAAATACCCAATTCAACAGTTTCATTACAATAGTTCTAAAGAACCATTAGCACTCATACCTCAACTAAGTAAGGCAGACTCTTCAGAAGTTCAGTCAAGGTCATGAATCCATATTCAAGAGGGTTGAGAGGAGCACTGTGGGTAGCTTCAAAATGCCTCTTGAGCTCATCAACAGAAAGATAGGTGGCTCCTTCCCAAGACATCAACAATACCAGCAACTGGGCAGTGAGAGAGCGCAGGGACTTGCGGTTGACCAGCTGTATCTGTTTGCCAGCTTCTGTATCAGCAACCTGGGGAAAACAAGAATTCAAACTTATCCCAACTCAAGAGAGACAACCTAGATCACATCCAGCTCAGCTAGTTCCATTTTGGCTAAGAGACCCATAGAGGAAAAGTCTCTAATTCTTTATCTTAAATCGAAGTGAGTGGGTTTGTTTTCAGTTTCTTTGGGACACTAGACCGACACTTCAGGTGAGACTGGAGCAGATATTCTCTCTCTTCGTGCTGGTCCATAACCAGAAACTTCCATCAATACCACCCCCTCTCGAAGGACATTCTTTCCACTGGAGACAAGACTGGCCAGCTGGCATCCACGAGTCCAAGCTCGTGAATTAAGGGTTGCTGTGTTGGGGTGGGGGTGGTTAGAGTGTAGGCGACAATCCACAAGGCTGCTCTGCAGACACGACTCACCCACTGTGTACATCCCAGGGGCTAGACTGGGAGGGGGGAGGGGTGTGTGTCTATTAGACCCACTCTGACTACAAGGCAAACTGCATTCTTCTAGTCCATCATTACCCTAAAAGCTGGCATTTTTCAGGTCTATGTGTCGACTTCTCCATTCTTTCAGATTCTCAAGAAGAAAAGGATTTCAGTTTTTAAGCACAGGGGGAGGGAAACCTTACAACAAAGACACAGGTTACCATTTAGGGACCGAGCAACATGTGAAGGAACAAACATTTGGTGACAGACCCACAGGCCTTGGGCCAGGTGGACGAGTCTGTGAACTGAGCCTCATCAAAGTTAAAACAGGCACAGCTTCAATACACACACTGCTTAGGCATTGGCAAGCAAACCAACATTTATTACTACAGCTGTTTTTCCCTTTTTCTGGCTTTCCAGCTGGGGTTTTGGATCCTCAAAGGCAGAGGGAGGTGGGTGGCACTTGAGGAGACATTGCAATACCAGTGTATGTTTGGTTCTGATGTCCACCTAGAGCCAAGGCAGGAGACTGGTGCGTAGACCTCCCCCCTCACTCCACTTATCAAGATTATTAATTTGTGGAGATTTAACCTACACATTTTCTCTGCAGGCGTGGGGTTTAATCAAACAATAGATACATGTCCAGGGGAGCCCAAGCCATCTTCTTCCATGCCCAAACCATTACTACTACTCCAGCCTTTTAAGAAGAAAAAACAAAAACCCACTCCTTTGATGCTACTTAGATACATCTCTTGATTCTCAACCCTGGCTACACATTAGAATCAACCAGGGAGCTTATGAAAAATGCCAATGCTCGGAGCACACTCAGGCTAATTACATAAGAATCTCCGAGGAAGGGGTGAAGTCTGAGAACTGGCATTTCCCAGAAGCTTTCTGGGGGATTCGAATGCAGCCAGGATAGCCTCTCCCATCTTTCCCCATCTCCTTTGCTCACAGCCAAGCTTCCCGATCAGCCACCTCTGTTCGTCCAAGAGTGTGATCATGGCTCAGTCTTCCTCTCCACCAAGCCCACCGCTGCCATCGTCCTGGGCGACTGAGCACCCAGGGGGCCTACATACTATGGCCTCAACTTGCTCATCTCCAATAACATCCTCTCTACTCAATTCCATCCCATACTCCCACCCCAGGGTCACACTTAGGATAATGTCATTGCCCACTTCCAAAATAACTCATTCAAACCTCCCATGCACCCTGCATGCAAACAGGAGTCTTGAGCAGACATTGGGTGAAAAGATTAGATTCTTATCTTTCTGCAATTTCATCAGCATTGACTCCTATCTTCTCCTCTCTTTCATCCATCCTGGCACTGATGGGCCATCAGTTCATTAACATTCATGTCAATATTCCAAATTCCTTTGTCCCGATGCCTTTTTGTTCTACCCATCTGGCAAAATCTCACCTTGAATCCAGCTATCCGCTTTCCTGGAGCTGTACCTAAGAAGCCATGCCATAATTTTCACCAGAGAAAATCTCTGAGCACAAACTTCCAGTGAGCTCTCCGTACTCCCAGCACCCGTGACTTCCTGGTCACTCTTCCACTTACCACCATGACAATGTCAGACCTCTTCCATGCTCTTCAGTCTTGAATCCTGTCTCTTTCTTCCTCTAAGCAGTTGCTCTCACCTTCTACTTGGCAGAAACACAGCTCTTGGGAGGTAACTGCCTCCTTTTCCTGGTGACAAACATCCAATTTACCTCTATCTACATCCACCCTACCTCCCTTCCCTTTGATCAAAATAATAGTAATGCCGATATCTGCGCTGTCCGTCCTTCCACTGAATGACAACTCCCACAGCTCCTGCCTCCTCAGAGCCCTACCCATCACCCCTTCTTGCCTTTGTATATTTATCTTCTCTCAAGTAGATCCTCTCGGCAGCTCTCGAACATGCTCGCTCAGCGAGGTCCACAGGTCACATCAGCCCTTGTGTCACTCGCACTCTTAGCAGCATGTGATGCTGCCGCCCTTCCTCCTCCTTGGTCTTCGACGCTCCACACTCCCAGTGTTCTTCCTACCCTTCAGCCACTGCATCTTGATCTGCGGGGGAGGTGTTTGCTCCTCTACCAGAGTACATAAATAGATTCCTTCCAGAGCTGTGCCTGGCGCTGCCACCACTTTGTATGTTTTCCTCTCCGTCTCTTCCTCCCTGTGGTGAGTTTCCCTGGTATTGGGGTGGATGCAGCCTGAAAACTGTCCAGCTGCTCTGCCTGGGGCTGGGATGCTCAGTTCAGTGCCAGGCGGGGAAGAGGAAGCACCCTCTCCAACCCAGCGTTACCAGCAACAAAGGCAATTCTCAGCTAGCTTGCTCCTATGTCTACTCCTTAGTCAGAATCTGGGGGAAGCGATCTGTGATTACAGTCTCCCCCAAACTTCACAAACATCTGTTTAGACAGATCCAACTTCAGGCCAGCAGCAGTGACACTGATACAACTGGGAATAAACACCCTACGACAAAACAGTGACCTCATCATTCACGACGACATCACTTTGACAAGGCCACTAATAGACACACAAAGGCAAGTCCAAGAATCTAAACTGCCACACCTCAGTCCGTCATCTTCTATGACCTCATAAGGTATTAATGACACACAGCCAACTGTGAAGCAGCAAGCAGTGTGCCGTACACCTACAGAAATGCTAAAGCACACGTAAACACCCGTGAAGAGTAGGCCACAAGTGGTATTCCATGAAAACAATCTGTTTACCTTTACAACATGGCAGAGTTTCTGTGTTAAAGCTGTAATTGAACTGACATCATAGTCCTGGAGACGAAATGTGTAACCAAAAGTTTTAGCGTATTCTGTGAACAGATCTGACATCATAAGGCAGTTATCTTTTTGGGTCCGAAGGAGTTTAACAAACTGGGCAGCTAGAGCTTTGAATCGTTCCACTTCTGTCAAAGTGAGGATTTTTTCTTCTCCACATTCTAGTACCTTGGAAAACACATGGGAGGAGGAAAGGAACAATGAAAAAGTTACGACTGTTCTTGGAATTAAATGGTGTGAAAACATATTACTAACTAAAAAGCACTTCGGTGTTCTTTAGTGAATACAGTTTCAGTTTTCAAGATTAAAAAGTTCTGGGACGTGGTTGTACAACAATGTAAATATATTTAACACAACTGAACTGTACACTTGAAATAGTCAAATAGATAAAGTGTATGTGTGTGTGTGTGTGTATATATATATATATATATATATATATATATATATTTTATCCTCACCTGAGGACATTTTTTGTTCAGATAGAGTGGGAGGGAGAGATAGAGAGACAGAAACATCAACATGAAAGGGACACATCGAGTGGTACAACCCAATCAAGGTATGTGTCCCTAGTGGGAACTGAACCTGAATCTCCCTGGTCCACAGGTCGACGCTCTAATTGCTGAGCCAAACAAGCCAGGGTGGTAAAGTGTATCTTTACCACAAATTTTTTTAAATATAAAGAGCACTATGAGGATTAAAAAGGGTAATATTAATAAAAGTCAATGAAAGAAACCTGATTTAAGTTACCAAAGACTTAACAGCTAAGCATTTGTATCGCCTCATGTACTCATCACTACCTCCAACATAAGAGACTGGAAAGTATGGAGCTAATGAAAAAATATTCAACTTAAAATTTTAAGTATTTAATCCTTGTTTTCAATAATTACCCTAAAACAAGTTTGAAGAATGATTTATTTCTATATTTTAGGGGGGAAAAACCACATTTACCTAAAGACTAATGAGCCCACAACATAGCTTCTCTAATAGAAATATTTCAAATTTTGATCCTATTTCATAACTCCCTACTTCTCTGGGGGAAAAAAAAAATGTTCCCCTTAATACTATTCAGAAAAACAGAATTTCTTCACTTACTTGAAGAATATTGGGTATGGCTTCAAAAAGTTCAAGTAGTTTGGTAAACCCATAGTATGAGAGTTTGCACTGCCGGCCAAAGTGGTGATGGTAAGAGGGGATGAATTTATTAAAGGGCATCCGGAAATGGGGCTGGTGCCTGAGCAGGTCAACAACATCCTGGGAGAACTGTTTTGTCCTTTCTATTTCATCCTGGGTACGTTCTTTGAAAAAAACAAAAACAAAAACACACACAAGTCACAATCTTCTTCTATCTATTTGTGCTTAATATTATTACTGTAGTTAGTCCTGTGCACAGATTACAAGAGATATTATTATCTTTGCCTTCCAAACACACCAAACCTAAAACAAACACACTCCTCTCTCTTTGCAGATGGTTTTCAAACTCATTTAAAGGCAGAACATCAGGAAGTCAGGACGCTATTATGTATACAATGAAATATATTATACACACCCATGTAACTTCCTCTTATAAACTAGAAATAATTTCTTTAGCCATCTCCGTCTCCTGCCCCCACCCCATATATGAGCATGACACACGTACAGGTCTCTGTACTCCGAAAAATAATCCAGAAATTATTTCTATAAAATCACACTTCTGAACAATCACATGCTTTTGTTTAGTCATCTGATCGTCACACAGAATTGCTAGCAGAAAAGACTATCAGGCATCAAAAGTCTAACAAAAAGACAGGAGAAAAAGCTTACGTTTACAGTTGTTTCTATTAATTTTTAAATGAGAACTGGGAAAAGATAGGCATTACACACGCAGCTCTGAGATGCGGACAGCATGGCACAGTGCTGGGCAGGGGCACAGGTTAAGAAAAGCACTGACAAACAAGAGTGGGGAACAGACAGGATATGTAATTTACCTATCCTCTCTCCCAGACCTCAACTGGAGCTACTAGAATGCGAAAGGTACAACAAAAGGCTGATCTGAGTTTCCTTTCCTTCTCAAGTGTGCATAGTAAAGTAGCTCAGAGTGAAAGAGACAGGAACAGCCATGGTCACTGACTCTCGACTGGATAATTACAGCATAAAACAGCCACAGACAGGCTCAAGAGGCATTTTAAGAAAGCGCTGGTTATGCCCTTTCCCCTTTGAGTGGATTCTAAAACACCAGCTTGCTTTTCTTCTCAACAAGTGGTTCCAACCACTCTGAAGACTTATCTCGGACCCACGCATAACAGCCATTTCACACTGCACTTCCCATGGAATCTCCAGAAATACGGACAAGATAGAGAATGATACATGCCCTTCCATGATTCCGTGTTAAAACAACCATCTGGGCAAACCACTTTCTCCCAGTCAACATACCTCTTTTGGGGATACAAATCACCATTTCGTTATCTTGTTGGGACAAGCAGATGGTTGTGTCTGGAATCTCTGATACAATGTCGATCAACTCACAAACGCCATATTCAGTGACTTCCCAGTCCTTTGAGAAACACCTAGATTTTAACCATGGACATAGGTAAAGAATGAGAAATATTGCTTGTCAGAATAACTTTATCATAAGTTTTCCAAAAGAATCCACAGAAGTTAGGTAATCATTTAAAATTTGGGGAATGTTCTAAAATATATGCTTTCATTTTTTTTTTTCTTCGCATCAACTCACCAATGATACGCCTGAGAGAATTCTCTCACAATGACCTGTTTGCTGGCCTGGGATTTGAGAAGTTTCAGTAAATCCTGAGTAAAGCGCTTCACTTGGGCCCTGTGCGTAAGGGTCAACAAACGTTTGGAGCCCATTCCGAGAATCTGCAAATCAAAACTTGGATTATTTATACTCATAAAATCTCGGCAGATACTGCCCTTCTTGTTGCTGGCTTCTCTCTCTCTCTGTTACTTCTTCAGAGAATGACTCCCTTTATGTATGAGATCTGCGTTTGGAAACACAGGTAGATCAACAAATTGTAAGTGATAAAAATGAACAACTGTTCAGGGCCTGGTACTTTTTTTTTCTCCTGCATACTCTCCCCAAATAGTCATGAGTACAGAAACAAAAAGCATGTTATCAGTCTGGGCAAATAATTTTGTCTCTAAAGGACAGCTAAGTTTTTTTAGGACATTTTACTATTATAACACTGTTAGGTGTTATGTGGGCAAATCAATAGACAAAGACTCCTTAGGAACCCATGCTAGGCTCAAGGCAGTAACCAGTCTTCAACTCATTTATGAGAAAGGTAAGCCCATGTTCAGAGCACTTCCCATGTAATAGTAAAAACTTCTAGAGAGGGATGTGCTAGAGAAAGGAGGCCAGTCCACAGCAATTAGAAGGAAAATAATCCTCAGTGCTCTAAGCACTTCCTTTAAATGGGAAGCTTGTAGCTTTCTAAAAAATTAAGAAGCTACCCTGTGTGTCCTTTCTGCACTCTAAAAAAAACTTTTACTGGATGTTTCGCTCTGAATTGACTTCTTAGGAATTAATTAGGTTACCAGCTATCCCAGTTCTTTGGCTGAGGTAGCCAAAGTCATGGAAGAATATTCCCATCTTTAAACAATAATCCCTTAGCATTCCTTACCTGCAACACATGAGGTACTGCTTCTAATAATTCAATCAGCTTGGAGTATCCATAGTCTGATACCCGGCATTGCTTTGCAAAATGATGGTGATAGGATGGGATGAAATTACTAATTCGCATGACACAGGATGGTTGGTTCTTCAGTAAGTCAATCACTTCTCTACTGAACTGTATCAGCTGGGGGTTACCTACAGGACTTTTAGAACGCAGAAGCCAAGGGTCTAGATAGTGGGGAGGAAAAAAGAATATGCTTAAGACATAAAGCATAACTTCATCGGCTGAAAGACAGGTAGGTAACTAACTCTGCACTCTTGCTTGAGCTCAGTCATGATCAAGCTAACGAGACCAACTGGCTGCTGTACTTCTCAGCTTCTATACTCAGTTCCCATATAATTAACGGGCGAGCCCAACTTATTCATGGGCTTGCAAAGGCTTTCCCACTACTTCTCAAAATCAAGTTGCCAAAGTAAAGCATATTTTACCAGTGTTAACTTAAAGCAGAAGTGAAAATACTTAGAAAGTTTCCAGCATATAAACTGGTTGTATTTCAAAGATTCACTTGTAATTTGGTCATGTGCAACATACTTTCCCACAGGACCCAAGTTATAAATGGCCATCAAGCAGGCAGCCCAGAAGAGCCTAATTAACCCATAAAAAAGTCAAGAACACTGCCCAGGAAACCATGGAAAGCAATAATGTAAAACTAGCATGATATAAACTAAGAAACTGGTTTTCTCATTTATCTTGAATGTTCATATAATTAAGACGTTTTAACAGCACAACATATGGAATCCAGAATGGCACAGGACTGAGGAGAGAGGCAGGAGGTGGGTAAGAAGCTTTAGTACAAACAGAGCTCCCTGGTTATCCACACCTTTCTTCATACAGGGCAGGGGGTGATGGGAGGAGAAAAGGAGGAAGTATTGAGGGCCAAAAAGAAGAAGTGGAGGTACAAAGTGTTGTTCACAAGTAGCAGGATTAGACATCTGCAGCTCAAGGCATGCCCAGAACTCAGAAACTCACTCAAACCTAGGTCCAAATGTCCTGGTCCTGTAAAGTCTGTTTTTACATTTATCAAAGTCAAAAATGTCCAGCAAAATGAATTTCAAAAGAAAATGTTCATTCAGAGATATTTCCTTCAAATACTTGGAACTATTTTTTTTTTTTTATCCTCACCCGAGGACATTTTTCCATTTTTTGTTCAGATAGAGTGGGGGGGGGGAGAGAGGAAGAGAGGGAGAGAGAAACATCGACATGAAAGGGACACATCGAGTGGCCACCACCCACATGACCAACCAGGGCTGGGGACAAACTGCAATTGAAGTACGCGCCCTTAGGGGGAACCAAACCCGGGTCTCTCTGGACCACAGACTGACACTCTAACCGCTGAGCCAAACCGGCCAGGGCTGGAACTATTTTTAAAAGGATAGTCAAGCTCTGGCTGGTTTGGCTCAGCAGTTAGAGCATCGGCCTACAGACCAAGGGGTCTTGGGTTCGATTCTGGTCAGGGCACATGCCTGAGCTGCAGGTTTCCCTAGCCCTAACCAGGCTGTGTGGGAGGCAACCAATTGATATGTCTTCCTCAATACCAATGTTTCTCTCTCTACCTTCCTCCCTTCCTCCCTCTCTAAATAATTTAAAAAATTAATAAAAATAAAAGGACAGTAAACTGACAAGTAGAAAAGCTTCATAAAATTAGAGATTTCTAACTATGGAATTTGGGTTTTTAATTTTCTACATAATTTAAGCTGGTTCAAAAGTCTAATTCTGCCCAACCTCTGCACTTTAGAGAGCCATTTTTTAAAAGACCAAAGAAGATACCCATGGTCCTTTACATTTAAGATAAAAGCCAGTAGGCTTCTCTCACCACAGGTGGTGGCTCAGAAGACCAAACACCTGACACCTACCTGTGTTTGGAGGAGGCGGCTTGTTGTGAATCCATTTTACTACTTTGACGCCGTTCTGTGCAGTGGCAATGTTTACACCTGGAACACAGGTGATAAGGTGTTCTAAGGGAACACCACCTCGGTTTTCTGGCAATACTTCTAGTTTACCAAATTCGGCGGCATAACAATCTGGGAAACTGAAATAAGAAGATAAAAAAAAGTTAATTAAAATAATGGAAAAGCAAAGCACCTGCTAAACAGAAGCCTTTAATTTTTATGTACCGATTAATAATTTAAATGCCCACAATCTGAGTTTGGAGTTAAAATTAAGGTCGCTGGGAGTCAATCATTGTGGAATTTACCTCTTTGATGTATCGGGAAGATACTAGAAATTCCTGGACAATTTTCCAGCAGAGGGGGTTAAAATTAAGGCAACTGGATTCCAAGTCAGGTATTCATTTGCTTTACTGTACTGCAGGCCTTGTCAACTTAGACCTGTGCTAGCCCCTGTGCTGTCTACCAGATGACCAGTGATGTGGCTAAATGGACTTTTTTCTTTGATTTTAGAGAGAGACAAAGGGAGAGGGAGAGAGAGACAGAAATATCGATGAGAGAACATCAATTGGCTGCCTTCTGGATGGCCCCCCACTGGGGATCTGGCCCACCACCTGGGCAAGTGCCCTGACTAGGAACTGAACTGGCAACCTCTTAGTGCATGGATCAACGCTCAACCACTGAGCCACACCAGCCAGGCATTAAATGGACTTTTAAAGAGTACTTTTTTCTCTCAAATTTTGAAATCTACAACTGTTTGAGCTTGTGTGTACTCCACTAACATTTGTGCACACTTCTATTACAGTACTTATAGTCATCTCTTCTCTGTGGAAACTGCCGTACTCATGTTTATTTCCAAAATTCAGCACAAAATTTTTCTCATTAAAAAATGGACCCATTTCAGATATATTTTATCTATGAGGCTCAGGACAATAGGATGGACATTCCACAGTACTTGCTTAGGGAGAGGTATGGACAGAGAGGGTGATTTCCTATAAAGAGGAGAACTAAGGCATCATGTCACAATGTTTCTGACATGTTTGTTCACCTTAATAAAGGCACAGTGCCCTCATGTGTCTGTAGAAGACTATGAACTTGGGGCCCAAATGTCTTCAAAGAGAGAATCACAAAAGGAATCTTGTAACAGTCTGGATCAAATTCATGTTCACTGTAGAAAAGAAAATGAAAGAGTCAGTTGATATTTCTTAGTAGTCCAAAACAGCAGTAAGGTAAGTCTAAGAGATATTCCACAACCTTATACAAAAGGATTATTTCTGAAGAGAAACAGGTGTTATACCTGAAATCCGTATTGGAACAATGCTGTCTGCAGACAGGCTCATGATATTCTAACTCCTCAAATATAATTGGACTGCCATTCGTTGAGGAGCCGTCATGGGACTGGGAAGACCCCAAGGGGCTCTGTCGAGCTTGACTGCTGGGTAAGAGACACACCAGTCTTCCATTTCCGTGTTCACGGATTGCGACTGTGTCTGTTAATTTATATAAATCTGACACATTCAACTTGTGTCCAAACCTAAAAGCAAGGAAAAAGAGCATGATGCTAACTTAGAATGTTCTCTGACTATACAGAAATACCTGTCCTGTTTAAGAAAAGGCTACAACCAAGAATAGTGCCTCTGTCTCCTCAAAAGTAAAACTGGAATAATTCTACTATAAATTCATTCACTATCACAACAGTGACGCTCGGCACTCCTTGGAGTAATCTCGGCTCATTGCCCACTATGATTATCTGGTAGCTTCCCCCAACCCCCATGCAGTTTCTGTAAATACCTCACCTCATTTTCTGAAATGGAAAGCTATCTGATACCGCTTTCAACGTGGCTCCCCACCTTCACTTCAGGTGCCTCTATATTACCCCTATCTCTGCTCTGCTCCCTCAGAAGAGGTATATGCCTTTCCCACTACAGCCTTGTCTTACCTATGCCTCAACTTAAAGACCCCCACTTTGTCTGAGACTGGACCCCTCACTCCTCCCCTGACATGTGTCTTTCATACTTGGAGCTTAAAGGCACAGGCTCTGAACCAGGACAGATTTGAGCTCATATCTGGACCCTGCCTATATAACCTTAGTTAAGTTACACAAGCAGTCTGGACCTCAGTTTTCCCATATGTAAAATGGGGGCACACTACCTACCTCACAGTATTGGTATGAGGATTAAATGTGATTATGTATGAGAGAGCTTGGCATATAGTAAGTGTTCATTAAATGACAGCTGCTCCAATTTCTTCTGGGTGCTCTACACATAAGCTCAGATCCCTCTACTACAACCAGTCTCTCCCCTCTCCCCGTCACTCCTCCTCTGTCCCATTCCTGTATAAGCACATTCTCCTGCATGCTCTCTCTGTCTTGTACTCTCCTGTCTTCCCAATAATGAAAACAGCTGTCCTCTCTGGAGTTGCTTCCTGTTTCATCATCCAGTCTGTCAACTGTTTCCTCCAGGATTTTTTCCACAGGACACTTCAGAGATGGCTCTCAAGTTACCAGTGGCCTCCTTCTCCTCCCCAAACCTCACACGACTGCCTCAGTTCCCTCGATGTTGCAAGCCACCCCACACCTCCTGGTGACACTCTCACCTCTGGGTTCTCACACACTTCCTATTCCTAATGGCATTCCACCCAGTTCTGCCCTTCTGTTTCTCCTCCCTCTTCTCTGATCTTATCTGTTCCCATGTCTTTCACAATCACCTTTAGGCAAATAACTGCCCTATCTGGGGAACTGACTTCTTTCCTGAGGGATCCTCCAAATGTGCAGAGGATGAATTGTACTTTCTACCCAGAAGTTCCAATAGTTCTCTCAACCATTATGTCCAAAACCATGATCAAAAACTTGTTGCCCTGGCCAGTTTGGCTCAGCGGTTAGAGCATCAGCCTGCGGTCCAGAGAAAAACTTGTTGTACCTCTTGAACGTCTTTTCTTTATTTCCCTATTTCCAGATTAATCATACAACCATACTCCCAGCCATCTGGAGCACAAAACTCAGAATCAAACTGACCTCTCTCTACTTTGTACCTTGCCTAATATATAAAACTAGTTACCAAGTCCTGTCTCACCGACAACTGAAACTTCTGTGGTACTTGGTTCCTTCTGTTGCAACAGCATCTGCTCAGAACCGGGGCTGGTGCAGCACTCCCTTCGTCTCCGTCCCTCTCCTGTCTATTCCATCTCAGACATGACTGCCTCCAGAAGAGTCTGCCTGAAGCATGGTTCCTGCCACCACCTCTCTTCCCTCCCCTCATTCCTCCAACACTCCAGGGTTCCCATTATTCACACATATGGTCAAGCTCCTGTTCTTTCCATCCTCTGTATCCTCAAAACACTTTCCTTTTCATGAGTTTTCTTTATTCCATGTAATAATGTTTTCCCTTCCCTTCTAGACAAGCTCCTCAAGGACAAAGGCTGTAGCTTCCCAGCTCTGCACTGTCCTCAGAGCCTTAGCCTTTCACTCCACTGATATTTGTTGAGCATCTATTATGTGCTGGATATTGAAGACATGGTATTGGGTCAGCTCCGGCCCATGTCATCCTGGATCTTACAGTCTAGAAGGTGCTCAAAATTGTTCACTCAATAAATAATAAAACTGGTCAGAAAAAATAAATAAAAGTACAGTTTTGGGGACTGAGATCTCAATTTGCGAATGATGAAAAAATATTTAAAAAAAATATATATTTTTATTGATTTTACAGAGAGAAAAGGGGAGAGAGCTAGAAACACTGATGTGAGAGAGATACACCAATTGGCTGCTTCCTGTAAGCCCCCTAATGGAGATCGAGCCCGCAACCCAGGAATGTGCCCTGACCAGGAATCAAAGTGGGACCTCTTAGCACGTGTGACATCGCTCAATCCATTGAGCCACACCAGCCAGGCAAAATGAATAAAATTTTACAAATGTAAGTTAGCCCTGGCCAGTTTGGCTCAGCAATTAGAGCCTTGGCCCATGGACCAGAGTCGCAGGTTGTATTCCAATCAAGGGCACATACCTTGGTTGCAGGTTCAATCCCTGGCCCTGGTTGGGGTCCTTTGGGAGGCAACCAATTGATGTGCCTCTCACATTGATGCTTCTCTCTCTCTCCCCCTCCCTCCCTCCCTCCCTCCTACCCTATCTGAAAATCAGTGAAAAAATATCCTTGGGTGAGTTTTTAAAATAATAAAAATAAAATATAAAATTAAATGTATGTTAAGCCTTGGTAGAATGGCTCAGATGGCTGGAGCATCATCTCGTATACCGAAAGGTTAAAGGTTCAACTCCCAGTCAGGGTGCATAAGGGAGGCAACCAATCAATGTGTCTCTCTCACATCAGTGTTTCTGTCTCTCTCCCTCTCTCAAAAATCAATTAAAACATATCCTTGGGCCCTGGCCGGTTTGGCTCAGCGGTTAGAACGTCGGCCTGTGGGACAGAGAGACCTGGGTTCGGTTCCCGCTAAGGGCACGTACCTCGGTTGCAGTTTGTCCCCGGCCCTGGTTGGTCGCGCAGGTGGCAACCACTCGATGTGTCCCTTTCACATCGATGTTTCTCTCTCTCTCTCTTCCTCTCTCTCCCTCCCGCTCTGTCTGAACAAAAAAAAATATGCAAAAAAAAATGTCCTCGGGTGAGGATAAAAAAACAAACAAACAGAAAAACAACATATACTTGGGTAAGGATTAAAAAAAAGTATGTTAAAATTGAAATGTAAATTTGAACACCACTGTCTTTGTCTCATTTCCTCCACCAGGCTGCAAGTTCCTTAAGAGTTACTACAACACTTTTATGCCAATCACCAATCAATACTGGAATTCTGGAAGTCACGAATCACTATTGATTAGATCAATGAAAAAAATAAACCTAACTTACTTTTTTTCATAGATATCTGTAAATTTTAAAAGAGGCAGACAACAGGCGGGAGCATCCTGAAGAACAGACATGGTTTCTGCACTGTAAGACAAAATCCTAATCAGTGAGAGAACAAATGCTGTTGGAAATCAAGAGGCGGTTTCCAAGTTGTATTTTAAGAACAGAACACAAAATTGATTAACAAAATGTCCATACAAAATAAATAATGTCTGTACAAAATAAATTTACCTGATTCTGGAATGTCAGAATGTATTTTCGAGAAAAACCTGAGGAGAGGACTTTAGGGATGAGGCAGTTAAATGACATTAAGTCACACACTGGGGTTTTTCTCTGACTCAGGCACAAGGCTTTCCATCCATGTATCAGAAAAACACTGACTACTCAGGAAGACAAGCACCTTGTTCAGAGCAAAGGCAGAACAGCTTCAATGTCTCCTGCTACACTGAGGTTCACATGTTAGAAATATGGGAGTGGGATTCCTATAGGTAATATACAACTGAATACGATATCATCTCAACTATGGTTTTAAAAAACAAAGCACCAATAACATCCAAAGGGAAAACAAAAAGTCAAACTGTTAAGAGTGGTTGGCTTTGAGCCACAGGATTATGGATGATTTTCCCCACTTGCTTCATTTGTTTCTGAACTTTACAAATTTTCTTCTATGGGTATTGTTTTTATTCTAGTGGGGAAAACAATTTATAATGTTGAAGTACGCTTCATAGAAAAGATCTTTGAGAATGCAAACAGATATTCAGTAGTGAGTCCTGTTTTAGTAGACTCAAAATAGGGAGAGCCAAGAAAAATCGAAGCTTATTCTAAGACTGATATACTAATAATGAAAATTATGGGGCTGGGTATCTATGACATTATGGATACATCTGCAAGTTGAGAGATAGATCTACCCTTTATAGACTAATCCACTTTCTACTAGGATTTAAAGTAATATTTCAGACTTTCCAAGCTCATAAACTTTTATTATCGAGGTCTACTATTTTTAGAAGCTGTTCTGGATATTCGGCGTACTATTTCACTCCTAAGTGCCTGCCAAGTTTAAGCTGTGCTTCACCTTTGGTTAATGACTTGAACAAGAGCCAAACTATTCTACCTAGCCTATTTCTAATTTATTTTTTCTAACTCCTAGTTTATTTCTAACTGTCAATCCAGAATATGCATTATTACATATGTAATCACAAGAGGCTTGGGATTGTGATAAAGTCTATTCTTATTATTTGCGAAATAATTTCAGGACCAAAATGTTATTTCCTGAAATAAATGGCTTTGTTTTTTTTGTTTGTTTGTTTGTTTTTACCTCAGTAAAGAGAGTGATTTATTAGCAGCTCCTGTGGCAAGTGAGACCAGGATCTTCTTGCTGCCAATTTTGTATCTGTGGAGGCTATTCACCGCAGTGATTGCTTCTTGTAAGTTTTCCATTTGAACAACAGCCTTGAGCTGATAGTCCGTGTGGGGGCTGAGCTCAACACTCTTCACCTACAGAAGCGAGACAGACGCTATGTCTTACCATTTCAAATCTGAAGGTGAATAATCAAGGACGTTTGTGGACTTGAGTGAAGTGAGAAAACTTGTCTGCATTCTGCACTTCAGCCGACTAGAACCTAAGTGACCTAGAATGGGTGACCTTCAGGGATGTGACACTGGTCTGGCCTGCCTGAGTGCTCTGGCACACACAGCTTTCTCATGCAGGCCCAGAGGCCAACACATGCAAGGGGTGTTTAGGGGTCTTCTCCTGACCCTGCAAAAATCAGGGGTATAGCCATTTAAAGAATCTGGAAAAGGCGTGTTTTTTTTAAAAGCAAACTGCACCTCAAAACTGAATCAGATACAATAAAATATTACCAAAAACTGCCAACGTTATTATTTTAGAATCTCATTTCTAGATTTTAGCAGCCAGAGCTAACTAAAACCCATTAATGTTTTATTTCCCAAAGTGCTATTTAAATGCCTGTCCATAACCACAAGTGCTTCTCTGCTAGGTTTCTTGCTCCCTGGGGCTGTGTCCTAAAAACTGGATGTATGGCACCACCAAGAGCAGACCAAAGGAAGAGCTCGATCTCATCTCGTTTGGTAACACTTACATCCTGGCTGTGCTTATGGGTGTTGAATTAAGTTCTCTTGATTTGAAATGTCAGCAAAGGATAAGACAAAGGCAAGAATAAGAGTGAAAGGTTACCTTGCCATGCCTAGAAAATGCTTCCTGCATGAGCTGCTGCAGCTCCTTCCGGGATACTCTGTAGTCTATGTTGCTGATCTGAATGTCGGCACCATTTGCAAATGGGTCTGGGCAGTCGGCACCAATGCTCGAATTTGCAACACTGAAAGCAAGAGGGGACACTGTTTAAAAGGTTTGGAGATGTACTCCTGCTTAAGACATATATATTGAGATAATTTTTTTTAATGTTATCCTATTTAGTTTATATCATTTAGGCTATTTTGAGCTACACATAGACAGAGCTTGCCACAATGCAATTTGGTTTTCAAATGTGTTTTTATCTTCCACATATATTGATTTAGACTCATTGTCAAAAGTATTATCTGTTGACTCTCATATTAACAATCAATAAATTATTTAATATAAAATACTTTCACTGGATAATTTATTTTTATTCTTATTTTTTAATCCTCACCCAAGCATATTTTTCTGTTTATCTTCAGATAGAGTGGGAGGGAGGGCGAGAGAAACATCAATGTGAGAGAGACACATCGACTGGTTGCCTCCTGCATGAGCCCAACCCTGACCAGGGCTGGGGATGAACCACAACCAAAATACGTGCCCTTGACAAGAATCGAACCCGCAACTCATTGGTCTACAGGCCGATGCTCTAAAGGCTGAGCCAAACTGGCCAGGGCTCACTGGATAATTGAAAGCTAAAGGCAGCCCTGGCCGGTTTGGCTCAGCGGTTAAAGCGTCGGCCTGCGGTCCGGAGAGACCCGGGTTCGGTTCCCGCTAAGGGCACGTACCTCGGTTGCAGTTTGTCCCCGGCCCTGGTTGGTCGTGCGGGTGGCAGCCACTCAATGTGTCCCTTTCACATCGATGTTTCTCTCTCTCTCTCTCTGCCTCCTGCTCTATCTGAACAAAGAATGAAAAAGTGTCCTCGGGTGAGGATAAAAAAAAAAAAAAAAAAAGAAAGAAAGCTAAAGGCAGAAATTACAGGCAGACTTAATGAATTAATTTTCCATTTGGGGCATTAATTCTTAGGAAATTAGTTTGTGATATCACTATTAAGTCATTTAACCACCCCCAGATTTGCAAAAGCTAGATATTCTTACTTATATGTTGAATTTTTTCTCCATGTAAGAAAAACGAAGTTTTGTGTATATTTTTAAATGTAATTTTACAGATCAAAAGTCATTTATGTAGTGAATCTTTACCAACTCAGCAGAACACCTACAATGCTAGATGGAGCTCATGGCATGCAACATGGCCTTATAGCTCCTGTCTTCTAAGCCTCCAGAATTACTCGGTGTGAGTTTAGAAAGCTTAGATAAGGTACATGTTATAGAGAATATTATAATGGTTTACAGAGACCCTTTATTTGATGTGCTTGTGTACTGCTTGAATTCTTTTAAATAAACATATTATCCTTTCTGTTGTACATAACCACCCCACAGATCAAGAAACTGGATTTGCCCTGGCTGGTTTGGCTCAGTGGTTAGAGTGTTGGCCTGCAGATGGGAGCGTCCCGGGTTCGGTTCCCGCTAGGGGCGTGTACCTTGGTTGCGGTGTGTGTCCCCGGCCCCAGTTGGGGTCGTGTGGGTAGCAGCCAGTCGTGTCTCTCTTGCATCAATGTTTCTCTCTCTCTCTCTTCCTCCCTCTCTCTCCTTCTTGCTCTGTCTGAGGATGGATGCAAAAATGTCCTCAGGTGGGGATTAAAAAAAAAAAAAAAAAAAAGAAGCTGGACTTACCGAGAAGACCAAGATGGAGATGTGAGCAGAGAACCAACTTGCCTGGATGCAATCAACTTGCTAAAAGCAGATGGGTAACTCACTTGGAACAAAGTCTCCTCTTTGTTTCTTTTCTCTATAGGAGAACTGGTAACACTTCGGGCACTGAGGTTGTCTTTTCTAATGGAGGGAATATCAGAGGTCATTTGTTTTCCTTCGCATTAGAGAAGCAACTATGAGAAAGAGTAATTCAACCTACTTCAGATTGGTTTTGTAAATGGATTCTGCCACCCCAGAGTTTTTCAGTGTGGGCACTATGACACTTGAGTTTCTGTGAGGAGGTGCCATCAGCCTCAGGTTACCCTGCTGGGATTCACTGTTTCTAGTACCCGTCTTTGACTCCAGGCGGCACAGCTCCTTAAAAGAGACAAACGAAGAGGAGTTGAAAATGTAGGTACCCAAGGTGTGTCAGACCCCGTACAGAAATCACGTGACTGAGCATCATAAAAATGGAAATTAAAAAAGGACACCCCAAAAACAAGCAGGCCTAGGAAACAGAGACAAAGAAACCAAACCTACCATAAACTTCAGAAAGCAAGAGGTACCACAATTACCTGTAAACTTTTCACATTTGTGGTTTTTGCAGCAGATCCAGAATTTGCCTGCGACCCTTTTCCAGGCATGGCTTTGGCACTGGAAGATTGCTCACTTGCATCTTTGATGAGGCACAATTTTGGAATCTTAAGTTTTTTGGGAGACTTCACTTTATCAGGAATTGCATTTGAACCATTTGCTTCACAGAGTTCTTTATTTTTCGGAGTAAATGACACAATGATCCTATTCCCAAAGACATCTTCGTTTTCCATTCGCTTCTGAGCCCGTTCGGCACTATCTTGGTTTATGAAGCGGAGAATTGCACTGCAGCCCGTGATGCTCAGCACTTTCCCACCACAATTATCGGACAGGCGTCTGAGCCTGTTGCTGATGCTCTTGCCATCTTTATTTGCTGGTAGGTTATAAACATAGAGCAGAGTGTGGCACTGCTGACACAGAAAAAAAGTGTTACAACAGGTTAACTCAAGGGCACACCTTCAATTACAAAATAAGAAAAACAGTGAGTGATCTCCAACAAGCTAGTGACCTTGGAGGGGAGGTAATAATGATTTAGATGGGAGAAGGTGAACTTATTTAGACTGAAAAACAAAGAAAAAGACAAACGTATCTGAAGTTATTATCACTGTAGTAAATAAGACTGGCAAGATTCAATGTTCTGAATAATGTCTTTTTTTTTTTAAGCACAAGGAAGAAGAATCTCTATAGTGGGGAATCTTTCACCTAAAATACTACATTTGAATTCAAGGTTTTCCAGATTAGAAAAGTGAATGCAAGCAGAAGCAGAAGGGGAAAAAATGTAGCTATAAACAAAAGACTAAAAACATAGTAACAACAAAAATGAATTAGGAGGGGGCTCCAAAGACTGCAGTAGGACCAGACTTTAGTATCCCCAGCTGTGGACTGACCTTAGCATGTGTTTAATCTTCGCTAGTTTTGGGTATGAGGAAATACAGGGGGACTAGCAGCTCAACTGCTTTGATCAGGGGCCCTGGGGTCCAGTCTCTGCTCTGCTGTGATCAAGCTGTGTGACCTCCAATGAATTGCTTACTTTTTCTAAGTGCTGACTTTCTCAGCCCTAAAATGAGTTCATTGGACGAGGTCATCTCTAAGGTTCTTCTGTAACTCTCAAGTTATTTAATTATGTTGAAATTGCACTTAATGTATGGGATTGCCTACTCTTTTGCTTCATCTACACTATAGCTCTTCTTGGTCATTAGTTACACAAATATTTTCCAAGCAACTTAAACACATTGTAGTAAACATTCCTGTCCCAAATCAAGACTATCAGAAATGCACATCCTGCTGGAAATATGCTCACATTCTCCTATCCAGGAGCTTAACTGGCTACAGGTGTAGCAATTACTATTCCTAATTGTGCACGTGCATGACAGGAGTGCAACTATAGAAAACAGGCTCCGAGGCCTGCTGGGAGTTTACACTTTAAATGCCTGAAAACTGTACAATTCGTCTTTTTATTTGACTCCAAACAGACCAGTAGGTACAAACCATCACCATATTCTTTACACAAAACACTTGAAAGCAAAAAGAGTAATAACTCTTATTCCATTATTTCTATCCATCTGACACAAAGCATCGTTAGCTTTGGAGACACTGGCCAGTGGCTGTTGGTAAGGTAAATCTAAAAGTTGATTCCCTACAACATTAAAAAAAAATAAAAACAACATCCATACATATCAAGTCTCTCTATATTTGTAAGAGAAGAACGGAAGGCTTCTAAGCCTTATTTCAAAATCTGGCCAGCCTCCTATAAAGAACAGCTTCCCCTAGGTTTGGAGACCCCCTTGCTAAGGGCTGTCTTCAGCCTCCCTAATCTAATGCTGGAATACAGCAAAAAGAATGCAAACTCACTTACTGGCGTTTTTAGTGGCGACCTGGGGGGCAAGTCGGAAATGAATTCTTCAAATCTGATCAGTTCGTTAGCATGATGCAGTAGTGCTTCCGAGGCCTGGTTTTTATGGATCAAAATTATGTGGAAACCATGTCTATGTCTCAGGTCACTAAGTTCCAAGGCAAAATTTACATCAGCTGAAAAAAAAGGTAGAACCCAACCCCATCCCCAAACATTAGAAACACCTGACAGAGACAGATACTTCCACAGACACATACTGAGAAGAGAGGAATGGCTGGACTGTATTCACAGTTGCTCCCCCCTCCCTTTTTAGAATGGAAACACATCTGATATCAGACGAATTAACAAGGTAAGACAATTTTACCACATACTTACACTGAATCCCAAGACACGTGTTACTTCTAGTAGTAACAGGGAGAAAATATTAATATTTTGGGGAGTGTCAACTTTGAAAATTACAAATTTTTGAGATTAGCAACATTGGGCCCGGGATTAAAAACAAAGTTCTATAGATACTTTAAACAAAATTACATTTCTTTAATAAACTTGGCCCCACAAGAATCCTTACTCAAGTTCTCAAGTTCCAAGGAGAAAATACAGAATTCCATGTAGACCCACGTTTTTTTTTTCTAAACAGTTCTCAGATATGAGCATAAACACGTCCTATGTATTTCAGCCTCTCTAGCACACATTTTACTTGAATGTGTTCTAGGTTTTATGATAGGTTCCCACACAGTGCCTTTGGCTGAAATGAGCAGATGTTTCCACACTTACTTGACACAAGAACCACAGTGGCTGGAGCAGTGTGTGTATTTGCAAACCTTCGAAGACTCTGGCGGAGTTTATCATCAGCAGCATTCTTTGCAGTAGCATTGATGTGGGCAACGGTTACCTACGTTAATTTATAATGAAGACAAATGAGCAAAGGCTAAGGTGAGAAAAATCACTACACATTCTGCCCACATCTTAACAGACTGTCTTTAAGGACACAAACTCTTTCATTGTTATTGTTATTTTTTTTCTGATCAGTTCATTAGCACTGAAAAAAATTACAACCAGATGTCAATAATTTCAAATTTGGATCTCCATAATAATTACCCGCTTCCATTATTACCCCCACTCTCATCTCTAATCTCATTTTTGCCCTTCATCCATCCTCCTTTCAGAAAACAGGCAGAGAAAAGGAGGTGAAATTTGAAGTAGCTGTATGAGCTCTCACAAATAGCTTTTGTCGACAATTTGGGAATGGCAGCGATGTAATATATGATTAAAATAAGGGGGTTGTATTTGATGTCATTTGTCTATGCCACAGATACATCATCTTACGGCATTCAGGATCTGGGGTTAGGTGGTGAAGAGGAGAGACACCTAACCCTTAAGGAGCTAAAAGGTGTTCAATCCTAATAGAATTATCAGGCTCACATATAACAGTCTCCAAAGCAAGGAAAGGTTTGTTTTGAGAGGTGCCACAACTACATGTAATACACAATAGAATTATTAATTTTTTTTTTTTTTTTTATCCTCACCCGAGGACATTTTTCCATTTTTTGTTCAGATAGAGCGGGAGAGAGAGAGAAACATCGACGTGAAGGGACACATCGAGTGGCTGCCACCCGCACGACCAACCAGGGCCGGGGACAAACTGCAACCGAGGTACGTGCCCTTAGCGGGAACCGAACCCGGGTCTCTCTGTACCGCAGGCCGACGCTCCAACTGCTGAGCCAAACCGGCCAGGGCAAGAATTATTAATTTTTATAAAAAACATAAATACATAATTTTAGGCATCAACATGGCATATCAATGGAATTACTTGTCTAAGAATTGGATTCTAGTTCTAGTTCACAAGAACAGACTTTGGAGGTCAACTGAATTTAAATCTTAGTTCACCCACTTACTGGCCAACCTACTTGGGGGCCTCAGTTTCACCTGTGAATTTCAAGTAATAAAATTTGAAATGAGCCTTGTTCACAGAGCAGTTATGAAAATCAAAGGAAATAATATATATTAGAATAGCACTAGTCACACACATTACTGAAACATCAGACATGATTAAATGATTCCTAGTACAGCAGGCCCTCAAATAACATCATTTCAGTCAATGTCCTTTTGTTATAACACTGATGAGATGCTGTATGAACTTAATTCTTGTTTATATCAATTAGCTTTTGGTAAAACTGGCTTCATTATGTCATTTCACTTGAAGTTGCAGAACCTATTGACAATGTTAAAGTGAGGACTTACTGTACTTTAGAAATAATCTTTTGCTACTTTATTTACAAATTCAGCACAAATGCACATTATTGAACAAATTCTTTTAAAAAAATCACATGTATCTATTCTTTTAGCATAATAAATTAAAATTGTTTTGTTTACCTGGCAATTATTCAACTCTTGAATAACTTCTTTGTTTTCTTTACTAATGTCACACACACAGATGAATTCTGCCTCTCTGTGCCCTTTAAAAAACTTCTCACGGATTCTATGTACAACAGCAGAGGCTGAGCGGCCAGAGGGAACTGAACAGTTTTCAATATCCCAAAAAACTCCAATGGGGGGTAAGTTTTCCAATACCTGTCCGGCTAGTGCAACTTCTGGTGAACCTTAAGGAATGTTAACACTTTCAATTATACATAATGAAAAAGAAATGGTAAATTAAAATAGGTAGCTACCTATCATTCTTAGTGGCAAAAAACCAAAATTATTGATGGACATTAATTTTAAGTATACCAACATCATTAGTTGATCTAATAAAACAAACAACCCCAAACTGCCATAGTTATCTCTGGCAATTATTCCTATTTTTCAGAGAGAACAAATCTAAAGGTCAAGTTACTTTAAGCCCACAATAATTCATCGCAAAGCATAAGCATCCTCATGCTGATCACTTATGTGTCTCTGGATACTAACACAGAGGTGAAAGGACTCTGCAGCTCCGGGACCTGATTTTCATGCTCTGCCCATGCCTATCTCCCTACTCAGTATGAAAAAACAATGAAGAGGTGACGAAAGGTGAAGTTTCTACTGTCCTTGATTTTAAATGATTTTTAATACAGCATTAACATCTGGTTTACTATTTTAAAAATGTTTTTAAAAAATAAAGTAGCATGCCCAGCCAGAGTGGCTCATTCGGTTGAGCATGATCCTGTGCATTGGAAGGTTGCCAGTTCGATTCCTGGTCAGGGCACATACCTGGGATGCGGTTCAATTTTGGGATGTGTATGGAAGGCAACCCACTGATGTTTCTCTCTCTCTCCTTTCCTCTCTCTAAGCATGTCCTCTGGTGAGGATTAAAAAATAAATAAAATAAAATATCATATTAATTAATTTTGGGGGAAATGCTCTAAGGTTTTCCAATATCATTTTTCACGAGTCATTACTAAATCTTTCTAAATACTAAGTCCTTCTAGAAAGTATACAATTAACAAGTGTGATTATGAACCTAAGCTGACACATCCCATCCAGCACTTACTTCTCCTAACGTACTCCCCATTTTTCTATACACAGCTTCTGATCTCAACTAGCCTCAGCTCAATATAAGGAGCAAATGACTTACCTATAAAATAAAGGAAATGGAGATGTACATACATAATAGCTTTAGAACCACAAGGACTCTTTTAAAGGCAATTAAATGAAGAGTTAGTATAAAATATTGAAAACTATTTAAATAAGTACATTTTATACCATACTGTCATTTACCAAATTTCGAAGCAGCTTTGTCTAGACCGGTCGCCAATAACAATGTGGTCTCCTTCCCTTTGGTTCCACAGCCATTACACAGAGGAACAGTAACGGGTGCAGCCTGCGTATTTGGTGGTGGAATATTTGGCCAGACTTTAGCAGCAGCAATTATACTATTTCTTGCCGGCTGTTTTAAAAATGGAGGAGGTTTCAGATATATTATTTAAGAACCTAGAGTTATATACACAACTGAAAATGCATTCTAAGTATATGTCCTTTCCACCTGCTAACACTGAATAAGATGTCTTTTCAAATCATCTTTCCTAGAACTATTAGTTATCAATTCATAATCTCACTTCAAGAAGTGCCTTGAAATTATCAGGGGAAATAGTCACACGATCAGACCTTTATATTCTGGGGCACATGTCTGAAGCGATGGAGACCTCAGACACACTTTACATAAAGAAGCAAAGGGTAAAATAGGAGTGAGGCCAAGTTTCAAGTTCCTCAAATTACTACAAAAGGACAACATGCAGTTACCTACATTACATGAATGGGTTCATGTACAGGCTGAGTGTTAGTTAAGAAATCACAATCCTGCCCTAGCCTTCAAAGACAAAACAGAATATGAGGCTTTGCTGAACTAGTTTCACATGTAGGTAACAAATTAATTACAAGAGGCCCTAAGAGCATAAACTACATAATTACTCTCTACCTATCTGAATGGTCCTTTTCATTTCACCCTTTGCTTCTTTAGGACCAGCAGAAGTTGTATTTATGGGGAAAAAGCGACATCATGGAAGGATCTTGAACCCCATGCACAGTTTTTCAAGATATATCCACTTAAAAATTGTCGTTCCTCAAACTTCAGCTGCCCCCAACATATCAAATAAAAAGATACAAACCTTATTTAGACAGTCTTCGCAGTAAAGGGAGCCCTTTAAACACACCGGAGGGACCACATTTAGGTGCAAAGAGCTGGTGCACAAGTGAGGTGTTAGCTCCGACTGTGAAATGTGCTCTTCCAAATGCCCTGGAGCCCCACTTGTGAAATCAGAACAGGGGAAATAGCCAGCAGAGGTGCAACCCTGGAGAGCCGGGAACTGATGCAGCTTGTGCACGTTACCATGGCATGACTGGAAATGGAGCTTTCCACAACAGGGCAGGTGCTGGCAGGAAGACAGATTACTTTCTGGACACGTGCTGGGAAAGTCACTTGCAATGCCGGCCATATTGTTCCTAGCTAAGGCATTCTGGAGTGAAGATGCAGACTGGAAAGCAAATCCTGACCCTACCTGACACGTGATTGTCCTGGTGCTTTGCGAGTCTAACAGTGTGCCCGTGTGAATCAAGCTACCAGTACCTCCACTACCGCCACCGCCACCACCACCGCCAAAATGCATTGGTGAAGTGGAGGGTTCATTAGTGCAATGAGCACAGCAGCTTACTTTGGGGACAGTTGGAAGCTGTATTTTAGTTTGCTGAAGAGAATGAGTATCTGGAAGTGAAACTGCTGGAAAAAGTTTAGAGCCAGCATGAAGGGGAGATGGTACATCCTTTAATTCCACAGCAACTTTCTTGTTCTCCATGTAATCTTTCTGAGAAAAAAATAAATAAAAAAATAAAAACACCAGTTAATTGTATGAGACAAGTGATTTTTGGTTACATCCTATTGCATTTACCAATGAAAACAGGGTTCAATACTATTTATATACCCCTCAATCATGACCGAACACAATGGAATAGCAGCTGAAACCAGTGGTGCTCTTCAGAGACGTCTACAGCAAGTGAACATGGAAAGACAACTAAAGTTAAGACTGTGTTCTTCCTGAATTTTAAAAGCCTGGAGGAAGGGTCTTTAGCAAGTCAGGTTAACCATCTATGTCTCAGTTACCTCCCTTGCCTCACAGCATCTTCTGAAGACAAAAATAGGTGATATAAAAACAACACAGACACTGCCCTGTCTGGTTTGGCTCAGAAGTTAGAGCGTTAGCCCACAGTCCAATGAGTCTTGGGTTGGATTCTGGTCAAGGGCATGTTGACTGCAGTTCGTCCCTGGCCCTCATCGGGGTTGTGAGGGAGGCAACCGGTCAATATATCCCTCTCACATCTATGTTTCTCTCTCTCCCCCTTTCTCTCCCTCCCATTCTATCTGAAGATAAATAGAAAAATATCCTCAAATGAGGATTAAAAAACAAAACAGTCACAAATAGCATTCGATAAAGATGACTTACAAGCAAAGTACTTTGAGGAAAATACTTAAAGTTTTTGCACTCAAATCATAAAGGGTTTTAGTAAGATCCTCCAGAGGAGATTCCAAACATTATGGATTAGCTCAGCCATCTCCCCCAGTGACCCATCTGTGGAAAAGTCTGTAAATGTGTTACTGATGACATTTAACAAATCCTAGGATATCATGACTAAAGCCATAATGCCAACAATTATTCTGTAGCCAGTGAAAAAATTAGGGTAATTAGAACACTATCTGGGAAAAGGTATGAGAAATGGTTTGTCACATTCCTCCAACACAGACATTGGAGGCCAGTAAATTGACAAAGGTTGTAGCATGGTATTGGTGTCAGAGGCCTTGGTTTGCATGTGACACTCAACGGTTTTATGACCTTGAGTAAGTTACTTAACCTCTCATCCTTCACTTGAGAACAGAATGTACCTCTGACAGTTGTTAGGATAAAATAAGATCATGCACATAAAGCTCTTAGCAGAGCACCTGATCCCTGAAAGGAGATTTAATCAATAGCCTCTATGGAATGATTTCAGGCACTATAAAGATGAAGAAGATGCCCTCATATAGTGACTGAGACACGCTCATCCCTTGGAGCATAGAAGGGTCCATCTGACTGCTATGATTTCACTCCTTTTGCTGTGATTATACACTCATCCACGAGAAATCTGGATTTTCAGTTAGACTTTTCCTAAAAGGAAGGTAATAGCAATGGACTGACAGTTCAACAAGCACTGTGTTCTGCCCTTTTGAAAATTCCAGCTCAGGCTGGAAATGAATACATTGGCATTCTGATTTATATAGATCTGGCTCTAATGGGCAGAATTATTGTGAGATGCTTCCCTTGAACATACTCAATTCTGGATGCCACCAACAAAAATCAAGTTTCTAGATCTGTAAAGTTGAGAGTGCAATTCTGTATCATGTGATTCCATGAGGGCCAAATCTGCCATTCCAGGAAGCCTTGCTTGAACTGCCAACCCTTGTTGTCAACTGTCCCTAAAGTAAAACATTTCTGAAATGACCCAAATTACTGATGCCATGCAACAAAGATAACTATATAGTGAACACCTGTAGAAGACAAGGTGTTTGACTTAAAAAAATATATATATATATACACATATATATATATATATATAAATACCTTTATAAGAACTTATCACAATGTCTCATTTAAATCTCAAGTACAACAGTCAAAAGAGAAATAGAAAGGTGGTAATGTTATACATTAAATGAAATCAGAAAAAGTCAAAATCACTATGAAAAGACACAGGAAGAAGTTAAGAGACATATTTAAATATTCAAAAGAAATCTGGAGCAGAAAAAGACGGTCCATAAAGTCCTGTCAATCTTTCCTTGATTATAAGACTCAAAACTCAGAAGGCTAAAGTAAAATAAAATCTGCTTTATATTTTCCTCCAATTTTATTCTACAACGTGGATCTTCTTTGGAATCCATGACCTTAGTGAGAGAAAAAATCTTCCCAAAATGTTAACATCAAATATTTAAAGCATCTACTGTTACTTAGAGTGAAAGTACAGGAGTTAAAAAAGTATGCTCTCACTGAGTCGGGAATTATAATAATGTGCTACAAGAAATAATATAAGTAGGATACAAGGAAAACTTAGCAGACTCTAGGGAGAGCGAATGCCCTAGACCAAAGGGAGTTCTCATCTATTTATCTGCATTAGGAATTTCCTATGCCCTGTCTTTCGCATAGTTACCGTTTGGGGACTAAGTGACAACGTCTGCTCAGGACGAGAAAAGCAATTAGAGAATTTCCAAAGCCATGGCTTAGCACCATTATCTTGTTGAAGCCATCTGTGTGTTCTACTGCAGTTCTCAGTTCCGTTTCCTTCCATCATACAGCCACGCAAAGTTGTTCAACATTCTTTCACCTTTCTTTTCTTTCATTCTTCCACCCTGCTGAGAATGAGATTTCAATGTCATTTATATACATAAGTACAAATTTTACTATCAAAATGTGAGACTGCAATTATATTACTGGTACGATGGTTCCCAACAAGTAAGATTTTAAGGAACGAAATAGAATGGCTTTCAAGGTGTATTATAAGTTACCAAAATTTAGTAAGCTTGGCTGACTGTTTCTGCTTATGTTCTGACTATATCCGCCTGATTTAAAAAAAACAAACAAAAAACCTTGTCTTCTTCCATTCCTCATGTTCCACAGTTCTTGCAATAAAACTCCAGATGAGCCCTATTTCTTTTCTATAAGCAGCCATGCTTGACAGAAGTAGCCACATCTTGGACACCTGCATATGCCTGAGTGAAATCTCTCCTCTTTACCTAGCTGGAGACAACCTCCTCCAGCTCTGAGTAAACTTTTTCTATAGTCTTTCTTAATTCTTCTTAACTATCCCTAAAGAGTCTACATATGAGAGTAAAAAAGTTAACAGCAGAGAGCATGTTATTTTAGTAAAAGAATAACTTTATGTCCTCATTACCAATTATCAAAGATTTTGAAATTGATTTAAGAACAACTTATCCCAGCCCGGCCAGTGTGGCTCAGTGGATTGAGCGTCATCCCATGCACCGAGAGGTCTCTGGTTTGATTCCTGGTCAGGGCACATGCCTAGGTTGCAGACTTGATCCCCAGTGGGGGGCATGCAGGAGGCAGCCAATCGATGTTTCTCTCTCATCGATGTTTCTATTTCTCCCCTTATTTATCTAAAAAGTCAATAAAAATATACTTAAAAATATTTTTAAAAAGAGCAACTTGTCCCACTGTGTCTTTGATATGAGTATGGAAGGTCCAAATTACTTGACTTCTGTGGACCTTGATTTTTTTTTTTTGTTAATCCTCACTCAAGGATATTTTTCCATTGATGTTTGCATAAAGAGCGGAAGAGGGGGAGGGAAAGAGAGCGAGACATCAATGTGAATGAGAGAGAGAGAGACAGACATTGACTGGTTGCCTCCCTGCACAACCCTGACTGGACCTGGGGATCAAACCTGCAACCCAGGTACATGTCCTTGACCAGGAATTGAACACGTGACCCTTTGATCAGCAGGCCAAAGCTCTAACTGTTGAGCAAAACTGGCCAGGGCTGATTTTTTTTAAATACTCGCCTGAAGATATTTTTTAAAAACTGATTTTGAGAGAGAAAGACATCAATCGGTTGACTGGGGATCAAACCCAAAACCTAGGATTGTGCCCTGACCAGGAATTGTACTCACTACCTTCTGGTGTTTGGGACGATGCTCTAACCAACTGAGACACCTGGCCAGGGCTGGACTTTGAATTTGATTCTGCTACAAAACAAATCAAACCAATTTCTTAGTTTACTTATTATGAAAGTGCAATCTGGTATACCACCAAAATTCTAACAGGAAAATCTCAAGTGTCAGATGTGCTGTATCTATTCCAGTGCAACATTTAAACAGTACAAAAGCAGATCAAATCAATAACAGCCATTGGGCACAGAGGCAGTCTGCCAATGGTAAGGACACTGAATCTCATTTCCAAGTCCTCGCCATTACACCCCATCACCTACTCTTACCTACATTTTAAGGTCACTAATTCATCTTTCATAAATTTAACCTAGGCATATAGAAAAGAATTCCTTTTAGCTATCTCTCTGATAAGATCCTTATTTCAAGCAATTTTAACATCTATATAGTAGGGTGAAGGGAGAGATAACTACACAAGTACCATATTTAAGGTACAGGAGAGCTGATCACATAAAGCAGGGGTAGGCAAACTATGGCCTGCCAGCCAAAACCAGCCCATTGTTTGTATTTATTAATATTTGAAATTTTTTTCTTTGTTGATTTTAGAGAGAGGAAGGGAACAAGAGATAGAAACATCGACTGGTTGCCTCCTGCATGCCCCCCACTGGGGATGAGGCCCATCATCTGGGCATGTGCCCTGACGGAATCAAACCCGCGACCTCTTGGTACATGGGTTGACGCTCAACCACTGGGCCACACCGGCCAGGCCCACTGTTTGTATTTAAATGGCCTTTGAACTAAGAATGTATTTTACATTTTTAAATTCTTAGACATAAATCAAAATAATAATGTTTTATGACACAAAATTTTATGAAATTCAAATTTCAGTCTCTATGAATAGTTTTATCGAGATATGGCCACACTCAAATATTTAAGTACTATCTATGGCAGATTTCTGCACTACAACTGCAGAATTAAGTATCTGCAACAGGGACAAGATTACCTAAAATATTTACTATAAAATCTAAAATATTTACTCTTTGGCCCTTAGGTTGAAGCTACAAAACTTCATTAAATTTTGGGATCTTCCTCTGTAAAGTGTGGCTAATTTCTCCCCTGCCCACTTCACAGCATCACTGAGGGTGAAAAATTAGATAAAGGAGCCCAACATCTGTTTGTCTTCACCACTGTATCACCTGTGCCAAGCACGGGGCGCTACTTATTATATAAGTAAATATTTGCATTTTACCTAGCTGTTTATAATGAGTTAACTTGGAGACAGAGATGAAGTTCACTGCCACATTGTTAGTAAATTATGCTACTTGTTTTTCCTCTTGAATACAGGTGCTATATCTCCCCACAATCTCCTCTAGATCATAAGAATCTGTGATGTTCATGATATACACAACTTCAACTGATGTTCTCACAAACCTCTTTAAGGCCAATCCTGAAAGTGAACTGACAGGTAGAGTACAACATGGTTTATTTTACCAAGCATTTTTATTTAACATTATTTCTTCATTCAGTAATATTTACTTAGTATCTACTATGTAGCAGGCCTATGATTAGCACAGGGATACAATGATGAAAACAACCAATGAGATCCATTTATGTAAAATTTCCCCCCCACAGTAAATCTGTGAGATAGATAAGGGAGAAATTGCCCACATCCTACAGAGGAGAAAAGAGAAGTTTAATAAAGCTTTGTAACTTGCCTAAGTTCACACACACTATTAGAAAGGGAGCTTCCCGGCCAGTGTGGCTCACTGGTTGAACTTCGACCCATGCACCAAGAGGTCGCTGGATCTATTTTTGGTCAGGGCACATGCAGGAGGCAGCCAATCAATGTTCTCCCTCATCAGTGTTTCTATCTCTCCCTCTCCCTTCCTCTAGCTCTAAAATCAATAAAGAAAAAATAATAAAAAAGAAAGGGAGCAAACTAGGCTTGTCCACCTCTTTTTACCACACCAAGGTGCCTTCTGTATTGCTCAACACAACAACAGAAAGTACACACACATTAACTTGTTAGTGGCCTGCACCTGGGAATGCCACTAAGTTAGGTAGCCAAAGCAAGTTCCCTTTCATTCAAGTTTAAGTCTCAATTCTGCCATTATATCTCAGAATCTTTGAGCAATTCAGATAGTGTTTGAGAGCACAGATGCTAAGTCAGACAGTCTGCATATTAATGCCCCATTCTGTGGCTTCCTCTTTGCAACTTTCGATAACTCACAATCTCTCTAAACCTCAGATCTCCTCTGTAAAATGGGACTGATAATAATAGCGACACTCTAATAGGGCTGTTGTTTGAATTAAATGAGACAGTTCAAGAAGAAAATTTAGCCGTGGCCTTCTCTTAACACCCATTCTAGTCCTCAACCCCTGCACCACCCCATCCCATTATTTATTTTTCATATGTCTTGTTTGTTTGCTTTTTTTTCTGTCTCTCCACTTGAATATAAACTCCGGGACAGCAGGGATCATGTTTTCTTATTTATTTTTGTATCTCCAGCATCTAGCACAGTGCCTGGCACGTATCAACAATAGCTAGCTGAACGCAGGATGAGTTCGATAAATGTCTAGGAAGACCATTAAGGTTTCAACCTCTCTCTGTGCAAAACAGAATGTTTACTGCTAGAGACATTAGGAAGTTCAAAAGATATGTGTAACTGGAAAGCTCTTAGTAATACCACAAAGGTGCTTGGGAAACTCTAAAAGGTGTATCAAGGTGTCGTGTTAAAATCCTAAGAAAACTCAACACTATCCTTCAAACCAAAGGCTGTACCCTAGAGAGTGGTGAAAAACTGAGGAGGATTCAAAACGCTCGGGGAGTGGGGGGGCAAAACACCCGACCCATCTTCCTCTCTTAACCTTCCGACTGTGTTAACTCGTCTGGAAAGGTTGCTCTCCACACCTGGAGGGCACCATAGGGAGCAGGGAGACAGGTGCAGGCGGGGAGCCAAACACCCCCAAAGTGCAGCAGCGGCGCAGCAATGACTGTCGTGAACGGACATGAAAGGGAAACATCCCGACCCTTTAGCGGGGGCCTGACCGGCGGGAGGAGGCGGGGTGTCCCAGCCCTTCCCCTCGGACAAGCCAACCTCCTGCATCCCCTACAGCAATAGGCAGGGGAAAGGGGGGGCACAGTCTTTCCTCTAGCCTGGTGGCCCCAAAGCAGCGGGCCCATCAAGGACTAGTTCCCAACGCAGACAGCACACTCACCTCTACGGCCAGCTCCACCTTTGCTCACATTCCGACCCCGCCGCCTTCCCCCCGCCCCGCCAGGCCCTTTGTTTTGATTCCCGACTCCGCAGCTCCCGCCGCCGCCGCCAAGCGCACCCTCCACTTCCGCTTCCGCACCGCACCGCCCCAGTCGTAAAACCGACGCCCTTTTCTTCCCCTCGCTCCACCCCTTCCTCCACCCCTCCCCCGCCGCCGTGTCCTCTCCGCGCAGGGCGTGCTGGGAACCCGGGGGGGGCGGGGCCTCGCGGCCCTGCAGCCTCGTCAGGCTCAGTCCCCTCCCGATAAACCCTTAAATAGGGGCCTTCCCGGGGGGCGGCCCCGGCTTTTTTGGCGAAAACCCCTAATTTAAGAAGGCGTTCCCCCTGGTTTAACATTGCGGAGTGGAAAGAAACATAGAGCGGAGAATTAGGCAGCTTGTGAAGTAGAACCGGGAGAAATAAACCTGCCAACCGGGGTTTGATACAATCAGCTCGTTCGGTCTTTGGGGGGAAGGCGATTTGAATCGGATTTCGATGAAAAACCCCGACATTTCTGTTTTCTCCCCCCCCCCCCGGTGCTGTCGTCTTGTCACGTGACGATTCTACTTTGAAAAAAAAGTTAAATGACGCATATTTTCCACAGCACACTTAATCTAGTGCAACCTAGTGGCCAGTGGGGGGAAAACTGCCACCCGCGCTACACGCCCGGTCCTTCAGGCCCGCCGGGTTCCTCGCACTTAGGACCAGGCTGGCAAAAAGCAGGTGTGCTGGGACTAGGCTGGATGTTGTCACCAACAGCTCAGAGGCCCTCGTGACTTAGTAAGAAAACGTGGTTTTTAAAAGCCCTGGCCCGGAGCTCGTTAGAAACGAACACAACTTTTCCAGTGACAGGTTGGGCCCAAAGTAGACTCCTAGTTGCAAAAGCCTTGTGAAGCCAATATCGGCTTGCATTTTAGGTGGATAGGTATGTCATGTTTGGGGTGTTATCCTCCCTCCCCCCTTGGCCTCACAATCTACTTTCACTTGAGATTAAAAAAAAAAAAAAATTAACTCAGTAAGCGCAATGGTCATTTGCAAAACTGCCAGCTGCTCACTATTTCCTGTGGCAAATTAGAGAAACAAAGCACATTATTTCTATTCTAGACATCGTTTAGGATGTGCTTGCTGCAAAATACTATGGAAAAGTTTATTTCTGAAGTTTGCCAAGAAACATTCGCTCTGCACAAGAATCAATAGCTAGAAATTGCCCAAAGAGACATTATCCCCTACCCCCAAGTCTACAGTGTGAGGCAATTTCATTAGGCAATTCCCAGTAGGTGGGGTGAATTTCAGGGGAGGCGAATACATCCCTATAGACATTCTGGTAGACATGTATTGGGGAGGGCAAGATCAAACTCGTAGCTGAAGAATCTTCTGTGCTTGAATTTCAGTTTCTAGTAGGAAGATGACAAGTACACACACATCATCTGCCTGCTTAGGTATTTATTACTGCTGAGTAAATCTTCACTGTGTCTGTGTGGAGAGTAGGAATTAGATGGAAAGCAACTCTGTAGCATTTTGTTTTATCAAGGTACCAAATATGCTTCTTTTTATGGGGTGTTTTTCTTCTTTTTATTCTAGTTGAGTGTCTCTGAACATAGACCATATTAACTGAAGGTATAAAAAAAGGAAACAAAATAATTGTGGATTTTTAAAAACTCTTTTTCAAAAAAATTTTAGCCACAAAACATAATAAAGAGCAGACACATTTTGTTTGACTTTGGCATTCTTTCAAGGCCAGAGTTGTGCCTGGTCTCAACAGGTTAAATGCAGTACATAAAAATTAATAAATCAAACAAAATGGAAAGCTAGCCCTGGCCAGTTTGGCTCAGTGGCTGGAGCGTGGGCCTGCAGACCAGTGAGTCCCAGGTTTGGGTCCTGCTAGGGGCACGTACCAAAAAAAAAAAAAAAAATCTCCTAAAATGGAAAGCTAATGAAAACTCTGAGTTACAAATAATCTTTCAAGAAAAGTAATTTTGTTTTCTGTAGAACATGAGCCTGTGCAGAGTACACCAGCCCTTGGAAGCAGATAATTATGAATCAAAATACAATTTGATATTTGTGAGAGTGCTTTAACATTTTCCTTAGATATATTTTCTTAAGTATAGCCTCTGTTAATCTTATTTCTATTCCTTTGCTGTACAAACGCTTTTTTTTTCAGAGAGTAAGAGTAATTTTTAGTTTTTTTCTTGTCCAAATTATAGTCTTCATGTTTATAAAACAAGGATGAACATTGATTTTTGTGCTACTCAGTTCAGCTCGTAGATTAACCTGGCTGCCCCTAAAGGAGTTTCTCCCACAGCAACTTTTCTTCTATGTTATGTTTTGTTTAATTTTTTGAAATGATAAATTATGATGGAAGGACTTAAGAGAAACTGAGTTCTCTGCTTATTCATATCTGAATGCTACAAGGAAAGTAAATGGAGTCAAGAGAGGATCAAGTTTTGAAGTACACCAAAATTTCCCTTTCATTTCTAAGCTTTTACCAAATGACATTTACCTAAACTCGTTAACAACATTTATCTAAACTCCTGTTCCTGAAGAGGAGCTTAATAATAACAATTTCAATGTCCTCGCTCTCTTTTTAAAATGGAAAATGAAGGAAATCTAAAGCCAACTAGTTGACATGACTTGATTAGCACCATTTAGTCAGGATTGATATGATACCTCATCAATTTGTGCTTCAGTTTATCTGTAAACTGGGGTAATTGTTTCCTGCCCAGAAACCTCACACAATGGTGAGGGTCAATAAAATTCTGAAGTGAAAGAAAGCATAAGAGCAAAAGTTTCAAGAAGATGCAAATGATTTATTAGCATCTGGGACGAGAATGGAAGTTCCCCGGAAAGACATTTTGGTACTTTTCTTAACCCTGTTGATGTAGGTGGTGGTTCCCTTTTGTCTCTGAGTTTCTTCAGGGACCAATGAGGAGTCAAAACAAAGGAGAATTAGAGAAAGGTCATTCTTAACCATGGCAGGGAGGCAGATGGGATTTTATGAGTGTGCTGGGAATTGTCAGAGTAACTAAGATCCCTTTGCCTCTAGCTTAGTGCTGAAGAACCCGAGTGTAGGAATAAAACAGTCCCAGCATTAAAGCATGATTTCTTATTTACTAATTGTGAGACATTTGGCAACATATTTAACTTTCTGTACCTTAGTTTTCTCATCTTTAAAATGAGGACACCAGCCCT